CTGTTTTAAAGCAAGTGGCACACCCAAACACTGATGTCATCTCGGAAAAATGTTCTTCCAAATGTTTTGTCAACAATCGTTGCAGTTTTTGGGAAAAGGCATACATCTGTCAGTCTAACAGAGATCAGTGCAGGTTTCGTTTGCCAAAGTTGCACATGAGAACACTTCCCGCTATATTGGAGTGATAATGTCACACTGCAACTTTCTGAAATCCGTTACCACCAGGTAATTTTTAGCTCCATCGAAACGGGAAACCTCCAGTGGGAACAGATTAAAGGCCTTTGGCCACCTCAACACTTTAAACATCGACTCCTGTCTGCTGTCGTTGTGTCCTTGGCAAGACACATAACCTCTGGGAACACCTGATGCCACAGTAGGGCGGCTGTATGGTTGGTGGTGGTCGGAGGGGCCGATGGCACATCGTGGTTGCCTCGCTTCTGTCAATGTGCCCCAGGGCAGCTGTGGCTACAGTAGTAGTTTATCACCTCCGTGTATGGAGTGAATGAATAATGACATGTAAAGCGTCTTTGAGTGTCCAAAAAAGCGCTATATAAAACCAATGCATTTATTATTTTTAGCTACCACGTCTAAAATGCTGAAAGAAATTCTTCAAGAAGAAGAATTGATACTTTCAAAATGTACTAATAAGACGTGAATCCAACATCAGAACAACTCAATATCACTCCACAAAGAGTAACTGTTATGCCCACAACCACCAGTGCAATACATGTTCTTTTCATCTAAAACCTCTGAGTTTATATGTATTATGTATTAATTGTCACATGTTTCTATCAGGAAAATAGTATATTGTACAACTATATAAACATGTTTATATGGATTGGCCTTCCCATCTCCACTCTCTCCATGAAGTATCATGGAGCACCACATTACTGCATGAAGTATCCCTTCCCATAAAAGTTGCTTGAGAAGGCACCTTAAAGAAGCCAAAATTGTTCTTTCATATACAATTCCCCCAGTTAATGGATGCAGTACATTATATTAGGGGCAGGTGATAAATCAATATTTACAATATCTTCTAACTCAATATAAATGCCCACTTTTGCACGTCTGCCTTCTTTGCTCTCGGCTGCTTGCCCCCTCATACTTGCTGTTGCTCCCCCTCGCGCCCTCTTCTCACGTGTGTTTCATTCATAACGGCGGCTGCTTAGCTCGGAGCAGAGACTGTAAACATGCTCGAAGGCTGCAAACTTGTGTTAAAAAATACAGAGTGTGGAATATGACAGAAGTGCAGGTGGTGCGTCAGTGGAATTTCACCTTTTGCTGTCATTGAACGACGTGGCTTTATACCAGAGAATTTAAACTTTACGCAGCTAAAAACAATACACAGATACTGATTACCGAGATGAGGCATTGCTCCCACGACTGCACTATGGAGAAGGAGCCGCCTGTCGCTGAATTGGAACATGTTACTTGCTATTAATGTAATCAGGAATCTTTTTTTTATCAAAAATGTTGCAGAAGCACTTTGTTCCTATATGCACTACGTTGAGTTGTTTTATTTTTGAAAGAAAATGACAACTTTTTTGGGGAAAAACACCGGGCGTAAGTAGTGGGCACTTAGTATCAGTGAACACTAGGGGTGCAATGGTTTGAAAAAAATCACAGTTGGGATCGTACCTTCAGAGCCACGGTTCGGTTCATTTTTTGAATCGGCAAAAAAAAAGTATCAAATTAAAGTGCACAAGGCCTATTTTTCTACTGAATAATCAAGGCTCCTGTGGACTCACCACCTGCAGGAGGATCAGTGAGGGACTGGTGCTGTGTACTGGGTGCAGCTCTGACTGCCACCCCCCCCCAACCCAGAAATGGATTAAGGGGAAGAAAATGGATGGATGGAAGGCATATTCCAACCATCGATCCAATTATTTATTTATTTATTTGAGAAAGGGGGAACAATACATATTAATGAACATTTTCACAAATGTAAATATGCCAGATTATAGCCTTAGGCTAATTTCCATCTGCAGACCCCCTGCAGGTTGGTGTTACACACAAGTTAGTAAAAACAAACAGAGACACTATTTATATACAGAGAGACAGGGACAGGAACAGTGATCACATGTTAGAACAACCAGCAAGCATGCAAGAGTGGACAAAGCACAATGTAGAAAACAAACACATAATCTGTATTGCACAAACCCGAGTATTGCACATGCCCTGACTGACCTGATATTGCACCACTCTATATTGCACTGACCCATATTGCACCACTCTATATTGCACTGACCCGTATTGCACCACTCTATATTGCACTAACCCGTATTGCACCACTCTATATTGCACTAGCCCTCATTAGACTAACCCGTATTGGATCACTCCTTATTGCACTGACCCACCTTGTATAGACCTGTATTGCACAGCCCACATTACAATGATAACCGTTTCCCGCACTGCACCAGCTCTATCTAAACATGGTCACATGTTTGAGTGTCCCTCAGCCACATTTTTAAATGACTCCTGAAGGTAGGCAGACTGGTTCTTTCCCTCACTGACACCGGAATACTATTCCAGAAGCTCACTCCCTGATATGACAGGACGTTCTGTGAGAAAGCGGTCCGCCTAAATACCAGTTCAGTCGCCTCTCGCAGTGGTTCGAGTCACTCGAGAACTGGCAGTACTACTAGACTTTGGTTTAATAAAATCGCTCATTGGAGGAGGCGCTAGACCATGTATAACCTTGTAGATTAGGCATGCTGATTTAACAATTTGAAATTTTCAAAAGTTAATAATTTATATTTGTCTAAGATTTGACAATGATGGCATGACGAAGGCTTCTTGTCTAATATTGTTTTTTGTAACATACTTCAATTGGCCCAATGGCAGCATGACTCGTATAAGACCAGCCTGTGATACAGTACTCAATATGAGCCAGTATCATAGAGTGCATGAATGTAATTGCTGCTGTATCCGTTAATGATGTCTGGATATGTCTGAAGTTCCGTAAATTAACATTTACAGTTTTCACTATTTTTTTTCCACATGATTTTTGAAAGATAATTTTGAGTCTATTAGCACTCCCAAATACTTAAATTCCTCAACATTAATTAATTCTTTTCCACTCAAGCAAACTTTTACTGTGGCCACGGGTGTTTTAGGTTTAGTAAAAAACATTGATACAGTCTTTTTAACATTAAGACACAAGCAAGACTCATTCAGCCACTTTAGTATATCATTCAAGGCTAATGAGAGCTGATAAGCTGCATCATCAGCACTTTTGGCTTGTGTAAAAATTACCGTGTCGTCTGCATACATAATCGCGTCCACATTTTTCCACACATTGGATAAGTTATTAAGATAAAGGGAAAATAGGAGGGGACCCAAAATTGATCCCTGAGGGACACCTTGCGTATAGTGAAGATAGGGTGACTTACTATTCTTTATTTGCACAGTTTGTTTTCTGTCTGATAAATAAGATTGTATCCATTTAATGGTTTGATTGCTAAATTTAAAAGCTGACAGTCTAGAAAACACCAAAAAACAAGATTTATAATGCTTCACAAAATTGGTATCAAATCCAAACTCATCTCTTGCTTTAGAACTTTTAAATTTTAAAGACTATGTTTTCTACTTCCTTTTCTGAAACGTTTTGAATATTAAAATTTGAATTTGGAGTTGGGGCCTCCATATGGGAGTTGGTATTATCAATTGAAAACATTTGTGCAATTTCATTAATAGTATTTTGGAAAAAGACATTTAATTTAGTTGCTAGGGTGAGAGGGTCTGATACCAAATTGTTGGAGAATTTTAGTTCTAGGTCTTTATCAGCATTTTGCTTACTTTTACCAAGGAGTTTGTTAATATTTTCCCAAATTAGCTTACAATTTACTTTGGCACCATTAATTACAGTCATGAAAAAATTAGCTTTTGCCCTTCTTAGTTTGTGTGACTTTATTCCTTGCGGATACAAATTTTAATCAATCAGTATTTAGTCCAGTTTGTAATGATGTTTTGAGTAATTTATCTCTGAGTGTCATGAGCTGTTTCTTTAAATTACCTTCTTTCTGAAACTGTGACAGAACCCCTTTAATAGAGGAATACAATAGATCACAACAGTTATTAGTGTCATCACAGAATAGTATGCTAGACCAATCAAGATTATTTAGAGCAGCAGTTAAGTGCTGTTCTTGGCTCTTTGGAATAAATAGTTGTTTTATATTATTGCTTTTACTGACACTTATCAGTCTGTTTTTAGTCAACTTTCTGGAGAAGAATATGGCATTGTGGTCAGACAACCCAGTCAAAAAATTATGTGTTTTTATCATTCTATCTATTCTAGTGGGATCACTGATTATTTGTGTTAAATCAAAATTATCAGTTATCTTTTTCAGTTTCTTTGTCATTTTTGTTATCCCAATTCACATTTAAGTCTCCCATTAGAATGACTTCATTGTTGAAGTCACAAGTATTCAGAAGTGCCTTGAAATTGTCATAAAAATCTACTTTGGCTGAAGGTGGGCAATAAAGACATAAAAGAGTAAATGACATCTCTACTGAGTGTGACACTTTAACTCCAACACATTCAATTGGAATTTCAGTAGGCCAAATTATTTGTGTACATTTTAGAGTCCTTCATATACAATAACACCCCTCCCCCCTTTCCCTGATGTCTATCTTGTCTAAAGACCTGGTAGCCTTGTAATGTTACCACTGATTGTGGGGAAGAGGGTTTGACCCAGGTTTCTGAAAGTCCAATGAAATCCACATTTGAGTTAATTAGAAGGTGCTCCAATTGTTCCCTCTTAGGGGTCATACTGCGTATATTCAGATGACCTCCTAAGACACCTTTGGTTTTACACTGAGGATCCCATATTGTCCTGGCTTAAGAGTCTGAAATAACTTACACGCTCGATTCTTTTTAAATACAGGGTTCCTCTTTGTGCGCATGGGTGTGATGGGTTCCAGTGACTTACTTGGTTTAGTTGTGATGGGTGGTGATGTTGGCCTGGGTAGCTGCTGTAGCCCAGGTAGCAGAGGTGGTGTTAGCCCAGGTAGCTGCTGTAGCCCAGGTAGTTGCTGTAGCCCAGGTAGCTGCTGTAGCCCAGGTAGTTGCTGTAGCCCAGGTAGCTGCTGTAGCCCAGGTAGCTGCTGTAGCCCAGGTAGCTGCTGTAGCCCAGGTAGCTGCTGTAGCCCAGGTAGCTGCTGTAGCCCAGGTAGCTGCTGTAGCCCAGGTAGCTGCTGTAGCCCAGGTAGCTGCTGTAGCCCAGGTAGCTGCTGTAGCCCAGGTAGCTGCTGTAGCCCAGGTAGCTGCTGTAGCCCAGGTAGCTGCTGTAGCCCAGGTAGCTGCTGTAGCCCAGGTAGCTGCTGTAGCCCAGGTAGCAGAGGTGGCGTTAGCCCAGGGGACTGCTGTAGTTGTATCACAGCACTCAAAACAGGCCCAGGATTTTCCTCAACATCACCAGCCAAAAGTATTAGCATTAAAAGATTCAGAACCCCCAGGAATGACCTAGACTTTGTATGATCAAGTTTACCCGGGGGCAGCCTAGAATGTCCACAATCCAGGAGTCTTGAATACAGAAGATGTTGGCTCCTCTTGGTTGGGTAGAGAGTTAAGCTGTCCATTTTCTGTGGACCATGTTAAGCTCAAGAGGAGGTAGAAGGACAAGACAAGAGAAGAGAAGACAAGACAAACATGGCAAAATCCAAGGGTTTTTGATATATTTTTGTGGCAGACACACAGGACCTTCCAGACTCTGGCCCAGTCCCAATACCCACACTGCACCCTACACACCTCTACGAAGTGTGCAGTTGTTCGAAGTGCACACCAGGGTTGGAGTGCGCAGGTTACAAGTGAGCAAAAAAGGCGGAATTGGGACAGTGCACACTGAGTGCAGGTTACGTCATCGACTCGTCAAGAGATGGTCATTTTCAGACCTAAACTTTATAAAAATTAAAGGTAATTTAAGGTCTGACCCTTTGGAAAACAAAATGAATTGCTTCACACACGTTAAAATACATGTATATTAGTTGTTTTTAATTAGAGATAGCTGTATAATTTTAAGTTAAATGTGGGTAACTAACTATCTGGTCAGTTTTTATACATTCTAAGATTATTGTACTAAGTGTAAAGTTTAAATTGAATGTTATATAAACGCTTGTTTTAAAAAGTTATTAAATTGTTAAAACACAATGTCCGTAATTCTTCATCAGACGTTTATGCTTCTTTCCAAGTAACATAGCGAAACTTATTTACACATATACTGCATATATATTTCAAAATGTATATTTAAATGCATTTTCCCGACGTTTTGGTGTGTACCGCAAAGAATTATGGGCAATATCCTTCGCCAGAGTGCGCATAGATGCAGGCTACGGCGAAGTGTGGACCAGGGGCGCAAAGGGGGCGGGGCCAAAGACCTCCCTGGAGAATAAGGATACCCTACGCACTGGCACCCTTTATCGGGAACGCGCAAATGAGGGGCGCAAGGGTGGAAGTGTGAGTATTGGGACGGGGCCTCTGTGGCTGCACCCTGGCGGCCATCTTGCCCAAAGATGGCCGACATAATTAATTTTTCATTAATTATGTCTTTTTAACATAATTAATGAAAAACAACACAAAGTGAAACATAAGAAGGCACTTTATGAGGGTATTTACCCTCATATTGAACCACCTTCCTGATTCTCCCGAGGAGGCGCTCCATTCTGGGCCCCAGTCCTATATATACAGTCTATGGTCCTGCCTCATTCACTGCATTTAATTTTTGGCATTATCAGTTGTGACTGGGATATTAGTACTGGTCCTCTTTGTCTTCCATTCCTCCACTGCTTGTGTCAGTACATGCGCTGTGTGACTTTCGTAGAGGGGGCGTGTCTGCAGCACCGGACTTTTCATCTCCCAGTTTGCTGTGATGAAGTGAGCGGTTATCGTAACATAGCTCTCTGTTCCGCTGGACGTCCAAGCGTCAGTCAGGGGATTTAAATGGCGCGGGCTTCTCCGTTCCTCTGCGGACTGTGGACTGAACAACATGCGCACAAGTTTTTATTCATAAATCAAACCGCGGATCACGTCTGTACCAAACCGAAGACGTTGATCCGAACGGATCACGGATCAGTGATTAACCGTTGCACCTCTAGTGAACACGTTAGCAGCCAAAGTGGAATGTCAACTCTAGGTCAAGACATATGTTGGGTTAATCCTGGTCCGCTCCACACGAACGGATGGGCTGTAGATCCAGGACCCCTACAGAACAAGAACCAAGGCCCCGCGGAGGCAGCAGAACTTCGGACCTTGGAGTTTCCAGCCCATACTCTGCACAGATGTTTCTGTACACTATGCTAGCCACTTGGTTATGGCGTTCCATGTAGGCCTTCCCTGCCAGCATCTTAGATAGGAATTAATTTTTGTTTCCCTGTTTTTTTTTCCAAATTCATCAATATTAAAACAATAAAGGCTTGAACTACTTCAGTTGTGTGTAATGAATCTAAAATATATGAAAGTCTAATGTTTCTGTACATTACAGAAAACAATGAACTTTATCACAATATTACCCATCATCTGTACTTCTTAGCAAGTTTTCCCGACGTTTCGTCCTCAAACCAGCGGACTTCAGGGAATGAATTCTCAGACCGCGCGTTGGAGATTTTTAACCTATGGGTGTGGTTAGCCACACCCTAATCCTGATACTAACTCAAACAATCTAAGGCCCTGTCCACACGAAGTCAAGCTCAGGCCTAAACGCAAAAATACTTTATCAATCCAGTGTATCGTCCATACGAGGCCGGCGTTTTGGGGGGGTGTAAACGAACATTTTTGAAACTAGGTCCCAGAGTGGAAAGATTTCAAAACTCCGTATATGCCGCTCCGTGGTTACTGCCTCTCCGCAATGTATCTGAGACGCTTGCGTCATCGCCCCGCCTCTTGTTAAAGCACGCATGCGCCGCACTCAGAAAATAATGACAACAACAACGTAGCTTGTTGGTTTTGTAATCCAGTGCGACCCGAAGCAACAGTTCAACCTCATCGTCCGTCCATACTAATGTAGTACCAGCTCGCCCACTCGCCATGTTGTCTGTTTACAAAATTCCGCGCATGCCCACGGAAGTTTGGGCTTGATCCCGTCATTGCGTCACAGCGCCACCAACAGGTCTGGCATAGTTTCACAGCGTTTTCAGGCGTATTGACTACATTCATATGGACGCACACATTTACTGAGCTAACTCCGTGTTTACAGAAAAAGTTTCTGAAATTATAAGCGTTTTGTCTTCGTGTGGATATAGCCTAAGGTCCGATGTAGAAGGGAGCAGATCTAACGACCCTGCTGAGGCTAACGACCCTAACTCCTTAGCATGTCACAGACCTATTGTCTGCTGGATGTGTATGTGTATATATGTATATGTGTATGTATATGTTTATATATATATTGTTGTAAAAAAAAACCCTTGACAGACGTGCCCAAAGTTGATGCAGAAAACAAGTTTAACATCTGTATTTAATTTATCTTTACAATCAGATACAGAAATTCAACCCAGAGCTCCTATGCTACCTATGTCCCTGGCTCGCCCTGTGCTGACTGCCCTCAAAAGCCCTTCAGGAAGGTTAATGTAGGATGACGATGACGTAATCTCTATGCGCCTTCCAAGGGTTTTCTTTCCGGGGGTGCTGGCGTCCCTTGTCCACTGGGGGGCGTCAGAACGCCGTTGGTGAATTCCCCAGTCAGGCAGCTCTCGGTCCTGTATCCGGTCTTTTGTCCTTCGCATCTCCAGACCTAAAATGAGAAATCATTCACCCCCCCCCCCCCAAATCTATAGATTTTATTACTTCCTTGAGATAAGGCAGGAGGCTATCAAGGCTGTCCCTCCAGATTCTGGGTCCATCTCCTTCTCCAAACAACGGAAAGGATTAACAGAATCTAGGAATGTAGATCCCTCTTGGTCTTCCAGATTAACTATCATTAACTCATATTCTGCACTTTGGACTACAATGGGAGAAGGGGAGACCAGGTCTTTTTTTTGCTTAGGAAGAGACAGAGTTTCAAATCACACATCTGCTTTTTAGTCTATATTTAATACAACAATATATATATATATTACAGTGACTTGCGAAAGTATTTGGCCCCCTTGAACCTTTCAACATTTCGCCATATTTCAGGCTTCAAACATAAAGATATAAAATTAAATTTTTTTGTCATGAATCAACAACAAGTGGGACACAATCGTGAAGTGGAACGAAATTTATTGGATAATTTAAACTTTTTTAACAAATAAAAAACTGAAAAGTGGGGCGTGCAATATTATTCGGTCCCTTTACTTTCAGTGCCGCAAACTCACTCCAGAAGTTCAGTGAGGATCTTTGAATGATCCAATGTTGTCCTAAATGACTGATGATGATAAATAGAATGCACCTGTGTGTAATCAAGTCTCCGTATAAATGCACCTGCTCTTTGATAGTCTCAGGGTTCTGTTTAAAGCGCAGAGAGAACCATGAAGACAAAGGAACACACCAGGCAGGTCCGAGATACTGTTGTGGAGAAGTTTAAAGCCGGATTTGGATACAAAAAGATTTCCCAAGCTTTAAACATCTCAAGGAGCACTGTGCAAGCAATTATATTGAAATGGTAGATTTGCAGTGGTCTGATACTCCTTCCAAGACCCGGCCGTCCACACCAAACATGAGGAAGAAGGTGCTCTGGTCAGATTAAACCAAAATCGAACTTTTTGGCCACAATGCAAAACGATATGTTTAGCGTAAAAGCAACACAGCTCATCACCCTGAACACACCATCCCCACTGTCAAACATGGTGGTGGCAGCCTCATGGTTTGGGCCTGCTTTTCTTCAGCAGGGACAGGGAAGATGGCTAAAATTGATGGGAAGATGGATGGAGCCAAATACAGGACCATTCTGGAAGAAAACCTGTTGGAGTCTGCAAAAGACCTGAGACTGGGACGGAGATTTATCTTCCAACAGGACAATGATCCAAAACATAAAGCCAAATCTACAATGGAATGGTTCACAAATAGACGTATCCAGGTGTTAGAATGGCCAAGTCACGACCTGGATCCAATCGAGAATCTGTGGAAAGAGCTGAAGACTGCTGTTCACAAACGCTCTCCATCCAACCTCACTGAGCTCGAGCTGTTTTGCAAGGAAGAATGGGCAAGAATTCCAGTCTCTCGATGTGCAAAACTGATAGAGACATACCCCAAGCGACTTGCAGCTGTAATTGCAGCAAAAGGTGGCGCTACAATGTTTTAGCGCAAGGGGGGCCGAATAATATTGCACGCCCCACTTTTCAGTTTTTTATTTGTTAAAAAAGTTTAAATTATCCAATAGATTTCGTTCCACTTCACGATTGTGTCCGACTTGTTGTTGATTCTTGACAAAAAATTAAATTTTGATATGTTTATGTTTGAAGCCTGAAATGTGGCGAAATGTTGAAAGGTTCAAGGGGGCCGAATACCTTCGCAAGGCACTGTATATATTATATATATATATATATATATATATATATAATATATACACACATACATACAGTGCCTTGCGAAAATATTCTGCCCCCTTGAACCTTTCAACATTTCGCCACATTTCAGGCTTCAAACATAAACATATCAAAATTTAATTTTTTGTCAAGAATCAACAACAAGTCGGACACAATCGTGAAGTGGAATGAAATTTATTGGATAATTTAAAGTTTTTTAACAAATAAAAAAACTGAATAGTGGGGCGTGCAATATTATTGGGCCCCTTTACTTTCAGTGCAGCAAACTCACTCCAGAAGTTCAGTGAGGATCTTTGAATGATCCAATCCTAAATGACTGATGATGATAAATAGAATACACCTGTGTGTAATCAAGTCTCCGTATAAATGCACCTGCTCTTTGATAGTCTCAGGGTTCTGTTTAAAGCGCAGAGAGAACCATGAAGACAAAGGAACACACCAGGCAGGTCCGAGATACTGTTGTGGAGAAGTTTAAAGCCGGATTTGGATACAAAAAGATTTCCCAAGCTTTAAACATCTCAAGGAGCACTGTGCACGCAATTATATTGAAATGGAAGGAGTATCAGACCACTGCAAATCTACCAAGACCCGGCCGTCCCTCCAAACTTTCATCTCAAACAAGGAGAAGACTGATCAGAGATGCAGCCAAGAGGCCCATGATCACTCTGGATGAACTGCAGATAACTACAGCTGAGGTGGGAGAGTCTGTCCATGGGACAACAATCAGTCGTGCACTGCACAAATCTGGCCTTTATGGAAGAGTGGCCATTTCTCAAAGATATCCAATAAAAGTCTCTTAAAGTTTGCCACAAGCCACCTGGGAGACACACCAAACATGTGGAAGAAGGTGCTCTGGTCAGATGAAACCAAACTCGAACTTTTTGGCAACAATGCAAAACGATATGTTTGGCGTAAAAGCAACACAGCTCATCACCCTGAACACACCATCCCCACCTCAGCTGTAGTTATCTGCAGTTCATCCAGAGTGATCATGGGCCTCTTGGCTGCATCTCTGATCAGTCTTCTCCTTGTTTGAGATGAAAGTTTGGAGGGACGGCCGGGTCTTGGTAGATTTGCAGTGGTCTGATACTTACTTACTTATATTGAAACGGAAGGAGTAAGTAAGTAAACTTTATTTATATACCGCCTTTCACAGACCAGAGTCACAAAGCGGGTTTACAATTGTTATTTTTGGGCACTTGTCCTCTCACTCCTCACAGAGATGGGAGCGGGGTCGCCGAACAGGAGGCGCATGCCAGACCTATTGTACATATTTTTAGTGGTAGGGGAAACCGGAGTACCCGGAGGAAACCTACGCAGACACGGGGAGAACATGCAAACTCCACTCAGAAAGGCCCTGGTCTGGCCGGGATTCGAACCCAGGACCTTCTATATAATATAATAATATAATTGCTTGCACAGTGCTCCTTGAGATGTTTAAAGCTTGGGAAATCTTTTTGTATCCAAATCCGGCTTTAAACTTCTCCACAACAATATCTCGGACCTGCCTGGTGTGTTCCTTTGTCTTCATGGTTCTCTCTGCGCTTTAAACAGAACCCTGAGACTATCAAAGAGCAGGTGCATTTATACGGAGACTTGATTACACACAGGTGCATTCTATTTATCATCATCAGTCATTTAGGACAACATTGGATCGCCTTTAGAGATAGGGTGAGGAGCTCAGTCACACGGGAGGAGGGGAGGAGCTCGGAGTAGAGCCGCTGCTTTTCCACGTCGAGAGGAACCAGTTGAGGTGGCTCTGGCATCTGTTCCGGATGCCTCCTGGACGCCTCCCTGGGGAGGTGTTTCGGGCCCGGTGGGACGGGAGGGACTATGTCTCCCAGCTGGCCTGGGAACGCCTTGGGGTCCCCCCGGACGAGCTGGAGGAAGTGTGTGTGGATAGGGAAGTCTGGGCGTCTCTGCTTAGACTGCTGCCCACGCGACCCGGCAACGGATAAAGCGGAAGAAAATGGATGGATGGATGTCCAACGGCTTATTAAACGATCGCGAGGTTAATACATTTTTTATTATGACTATTTTTAATTTATGCAAATAACAATCTCCAGCTTGGTTTTCCTAATTGTGTTATTAGCTTTCTGATCTGTAACAATGTCAATCTCTTCTTGACTGTTAAGAGTTGTGTTTTCGTCGTTATTTGCTGTTATTACTTCCTCTGGCTCTTCGAAGTCGTCGCTCATTCTTTTTTTTACCGAGGAAAGATATAAAATTTGATACACGCTGCGGACCGATTGTCATGGTAACGGTCCGAGATGGGAAAATATCACACCGCAAGTCAACCAATCAGAGCGTGCGTACGATCCAAGTCATATAATAAATATATGAATGAACATGCATGCATTTGTTTGCAAATGAAAACTATTATAAAATAGACATGACAAATAATTGACCATTTATTCATATATCCTTTTGGTCCTGTTACGGCCGGCTCAGGGCCACAACAAATGGGAGGCGAAACGGGGGTAAAAAGTGCAAAAAGTATATTTAATAATAACAAGACGAGTATAACATAACAAAAACAAGGTATGAGGTGTGAGCATGTTGTAATCTGTGTGTGGTGCAGGTGTGTGAGTGCAATGAAAGCCAGTGTGTGGTGTGCAGTGAATGTGGTGCATAAAACAAGACAAACTCAAATGTGCAACAAAGGAATGAGCACCAGGGCAGGACCAAACAAGAAAGCAGGGCCGGAGAAAGTGAGCAGCTCTCAGCTCCCAGCTGAAGAAGGTCCATTGATGAGGAGGCGTGGCATGGTGCAGGGGTGTACCTGCACAGAGGAGGAGGCGGCAGAGAAGGCAGGCCAACACAGACAGCACCCTCTCCTGGACACTAAGGGCCTGGCCCGTAACAGTCCTCCGTACTCTTAGCTAGAGACATGTTGCTGTTTCCTCTGGTGTCTGCACACGGCCCTGCAGTCCCACTCTATGGGCAGTAATGGGCGGTTACCTATGCTAATGACTCACCAGGCACTCACGCTCAACTTACAAGGAGATGGCATTCATCAATATAAGAGAACAGCTGCGAACAATTCAGTGGCGTTGATGAATCCCACGTAGGGTTTTCTTTGGAATCTACTTAAGAACGACTTGAAGAAATTTAAGACGATTCTTTTGAAGATTCTGGTGAATGAGGCCCATTGATTTTAATTGGAAAAACCCAACATTCTTTTTCACTGTTTAATTTTAGCTGAATTTCTCCTACGGGGAAGTATCTAATTTCACTTCACCTTTGTTGAATCATCACTCAAGCAATACTGTGAGAGGTTATGCTATTTGCCATAATTTCAGCAAAAGATAACTCATGATCTCGTGTTGCAATGTGTCTCATCAAGAGCACTTTCCCACTGCTCGCGTCTCCAGTGAAGTCAGTATTTGCCTTGTAAAGCTTGGCTTCCTGTCTGTTTCTGCAATGGGTTCTAAGTCTCTGCCTCTGTTTATTCAAAGCATGGCTCGCTCTATTCAGACGGCTTTGAATGCTGATTACTTTTACGCTTTGTTCACTGATGTCTTTAAATCAAACTCTTTTCAAGTCATTTGAGATTGCAGCATATAGTGAGCTACTTGTATAATTTATGTTTGATATAATTTAAATAATAATAAGGGGCACAATGGCTTCATTTTTAATAATGATGCTTTTGTTTTCTGTCAGGCTGGACCTCATGGCGTAGTCAGAGCTCCTCACTCCCACAGACGTCTCTTGCTGCCCTCTGCAACAAGAGGTAAGTACTCTTATTATACGTCTCTTTAACCTTGCCTGCAAGCTGAATTCTCGCGGTATTTGTGAGTTCACAAACACTCGAGAATACATCTTGTCCCGCTCCCGCCAACCCTTTTCGAGTAGAACATCTAGGTGTTCAAGCCAATCACGCGCCAGTCTGGGGGATATCCGGGTTTGACAAAAGCAAGAAGTGCCGGGCCGACGCAAAACAAACATGGCTACGCAGGAGGACAGACGCGTAGCTGAGGCTATCAAGTCAGTTTTAGCAGAATCTCCAATTTCTTTTTTGAAAGATGAACAGCGAGAGGCGCTTTGTGCATTTCTCTACCGGCAAAGATGTTACCGGGATTGGTTTATGTCAAACCTTGGTAGGCGGGCACACAGCGTCACTTCGCCCAATCAGCTTGAAGTATTCTGCTGCTTATCCCTCCTTTCCCCGAAAGGATTCTCCTGCAGAAGTCCCAGATTGATATTGTGGAGAACGCATTAGAGTTCTACACAATCATCAATCTGGCTCTTGCCAGGTTAACGTCTCCTCACAGCAGCAGTAGAATGCGCCATTGATTTGAACGTAATTTCAAATCTGTTCTATCGGTCATTATTTCTTGATAACCGACCTCTCAAAACAATAAAGACCGCTAACCCATGGCAATGCAATCTCTGCTTGTAATCCATGTGTGTAGATTACTCCAAGTTGTCCGGCCACTTGGTCACAACGGGCTAAGTCACTACTACTGTCTCTGAAGAAAGAAGCTATCGGAGCTAGCCACACTTTAAATGTTTATTGGAGAGTACATTATACATATACATTCTTAACACACATGCACAGAGGTTTTCAAAATGATCTGTTAACGTTTTCATGACAGAAATACAGTTTTTTTTTTTTAATGCTACCAAAAGCGATTGTGGTAAAACCCGGAAGTAACCATTAACCCTTTAGGCGCCAGAGTTTTTTCAAGAAAATATACTATTTTGATTTCAAGATTTCAAAAGGCTATAACTTTGAAATGGTTTGAGATAAAGGCATACTGTAAATTAGAAATATCTTCAGTTTGAACCAAACTTTGGGATGGAAGTTGATTCGTCATCTAATTTGCATATTGTGACGTCATCAAGGTGGCGGCCATTTTGGAAAATGTTAATTATTGTATAAAGACTTCAAAAAGCTGTAGCTTGGAAGTTATTTGAGATCAGGGAATACTATAAACAGTCAATGTGAAATATCTTTAGTATGAAATGAATTTGGGATAGAAATAAATTCCCTGATCCAGATTATAGATAATGTTTTAGCACTGGTTTGCGGCCATATGAAATTGTATTTTTTTCAAAGACCTTCAGTGATCAAGACAGCACTCTTTATAGTTTAAAGTCATGAAATCTGGAGATTGGTTTCAATATTTCCCTTTCAAAGAAGTGGTGGGCTTACTATTTTTCTCAGTGGAAATGAGGCTCCAAGATTTACCGTTTTTAGAAACAGAGAGATGAAATGAATGGGCTCAGAACTTGTCAGATCGTCTCAACAACATACAACAGGCTCTTCAACACTTCTGATCCACTTTTGTGGATTATTTTCTCTCAAGAACTGCCTTCATCCTCATCATCGCTGTTGGTAAAGGCAGTGAACGCGATTAGCGATTTTTTTTCCCGCGACTTCTCCCGCGTCTCCCGTGTTCCCCGTGGATGTTTACCCCCGCTACTTTCTTCCACATGCCCGGTGTTATGATGCCCCTGTCCCCTCCACCACGGCCCCTGCTTGGCGTTCACAGAATGCTTCTACCGCGGCCACACGGAGGACAAGCAGCCGCTGTATAGGGGCTGATTGTGGACTATGGAGCGCGGTCTCCCCGTCACCAATAATGTCCGTGTCTGCTTCACTGGACACCTGCGTGTCTTCCTCCTCTATATCTGAGTGAGCCAGTACCAGACCAAGTACCTCACTGGTACTGAAGACCTCGTAAGTAAAAGAAAAACACACTCTTTCCCTCTGCTCTTGCTCCTCTCAGCTCTACCGCTGCTGCTGTGCCTCCGCGCAGCTGTGCCGCAGGTGTTTTACGAACTCAATTTACTCAAAAACTTTCAATATAACCACACCCACAAATGTTGCTCATATTACAGGCACACATGTCCACTAACCCCTGGTGAAAAGTATTAACAAGATTCTGCACCACATTTTTACATACAGCCTGTTTAAGTGAGCAATGTTGCTTGTCGCAATATTGCGACTTTGGCGCTTAAAGGGTTAACCTTTTAGGGCGCATTTGCAGAGGATTGAATTATGGATTTAGGTTGAGTGTGTGTATATATTATATTATCCATCCATCCATCCATCCATTTTCTTCCGCTTTATCCGTTGCCGGGTCGCGGGGGCAGCAGTCTAAGCAGAGACGCCCAGACTTCCTTATCCACACACACTTCCTCCAGCTCGTCCGGGGGGACCCCAAGGCGTTCCCAGGCCAGCTGAGAGACATAGTCCCTCCAGCGTGTCCTAGGTCTTCCGCGGGGCCTCCTCCCGGTGGGACGTGCCCGGAACACCTCCCCAGGGAGGCGTCCAGGAGGCATCCGGAACAGATGCCCGAGCCACCTCAACTGGTTCCTCTCGACGTGGAGAAGCAGCGGCTCTACTCCGAGCTCCTCCCGTGTGACTGAGCTCCTCACCCTATCTCTAAGGGAGCGCCCAGCCACTCTGCGGAGGAAGCTCATTTCGACCGCTTGTATCCGTGATCTCGTTCTTTCGGTCATTACCCAAAGCTTATGACCATAGGTGAGGGAGGGAACGTAGATTGACCGGTAAATCGAGAGCTTTGCCTTTTGGCTCAGCTCCCTCTTTACCACAACGGTCCAATACAGCGACCGCATCACTGCGCACGCTGCACCGATCCGCCTGTCAATCTCACGCTCCATTCTTCCCTCACTCGTGAACAAGACCCCGAGATACTTGAACTCCTCCACTTGAGGAAGGACCTCTCCACCCACCTGCAGAGGGCAAGGCACCTTTTTCCGGTCGAGCACCATGGCCTCGGATTTCGAGGTGCTGATTCTCATCCCAGCCGCTTCACACTCGGCTGCAAACCGCCCCAGTGCATGCTGCAGGTCCTGGTTCGTTGGAGCCAACAGGACAACATCGTCCGCAAACAGCAGAGATTAAGTCCTGTGGTCTCCGAACCGGACCCCCTCCGACCCCTGGCTGCGCCTAGATATTCTGTCCATAAATACAGTGAACAGAACCGGTGACAAAGGGCAGCCCTGTCGGAGGCCAACATTCACCGGGAACAGGTCTGACTTACTGCCGGCAATGCGACCACAGCTCTGGCTCCGGTCATACAGGGATCGGATGGCCCTCAGCCGAGGACCTCCGACCCCGTACTCCCGGAGAACCCCCCAAAGGACACCCCGGGGAACACAGTCGAACGCCTTCTCCAAATCCACAAAGCACATGTGGACAGGTTGGGCGAACTCCCATGAACCCTCGAGTATCCGATGGAGAGTATAGAGCTGATCCAGTGTTCCGCGACCGGGACGAAAACCACACTGCTCCTCCTGGATCCGAGATTCGACCATCGGCCGTAACTTCCTCTCCAGTACCCTGGAGTAGACCTTACCGGGGAGGCTGAGGAGTGTGATCCCACGATAATTGGAACACACCCTCTGGTCCCCCTTCTTGTAGAGAGGGACCACCACCCCGGTCTGCCACTCCATTGGCACTGCCCCCGATCGCCACGCAATGTTGCAGAGACGTGTCAGCCAAGACAGTCCTACAACATCCAGAGACTTTTAGTTGATATGATAATCAGGGCGGATCTCATCCACACCCGGAGCCTTGCCACCATGGAGGCTACCAACCACCTTGGTGACCTCAGCCAGGGAGATGGATGTATCCGCCCCAAAATCCTCAGCCTCTGCCTCTGTAACAGAGGACGCGACGGGGGGATTGAGGAGAACCTCAAAGTAGTCCTTCCACCGCCCGAAAATATCCCCAGTCGAGGTCAGCAGCTCTCCACCATATTACTCCACCATAATATAATATAATATAATATAATATAATATAATATATAATATAATATATAATATAATATAATATAATATAATATAATATATAATATAATATATAATATAATATAATATAATATTATATAATATAATATAATATAATATAATATAATATAATATAATAGTATATAATATAATAGTATATAATATAATATAATATAATAGTATATAATATAATAGTATATAATAGTATATAATATAATAGTATATAATACTCTGTGGAATGAGCTGAAGACTGCTGTTCAAACGTTCTCCATCCAACCTCACTGAGCTCGAGCTGTTTTGCAAGGAAGAATGGGAAAGAATTCCAGTCTCTCGATGTGCAAAACTGATAGACATACTCCAAACGACTGTAAACAGCTGTAATTGCAGCAAAAGGTGACGCTACAAAGTATTAGCGCAAGGGGGCCGAATAATATTGCACGCCCCACTTTTCAGTTTTTTATTTGTTAAAATAGTTTAAATTATCCAATAAATTGTGTTCCACTTCATGATTGTGTCCCACTTGTTGTTGATTCTTGACTAAATGTTTTATTTTTTATATCTTTATGTTTGAAGCCTGAAATGTGGCGAAATGTTGAAAAGAAATAATATATTATATTATAATATAATATAATATAATATATGCATATGCATATGCATATATATATATATATATATATATATATATAACTTTTAAATTAAGACGGTAAATGTTATTGTCAAGAAAAAAATTATCGGGGATTACCGCTACACCGGGTAGCTACGTCTCCTTCTGAACCCTTGATGCTATCAATGTAAAATAACAGATCTAGAAAGAATACTTTTATTGTCAAATCAATATACAGTTCTTTCTCTGACCACATAGAAGCTTTTAAGTGGCTCTACATGCCATTTCGGTGCGCAGATGTTAGGCGCAGGCCAAACACAACACTGCAGTGGTAAGTGGGAGACATGTGGGTGCCGCTGGAGGCACTAAATCCTCTGGCACCCAAAGCGCCAGAGACGTGAAGAAGCCATGGAGACGGTTTTGTCCTGGATGCTCTGCTGTTTTAAACTCAAATGCAGACTTTGAACAGAGTGAACATTCATCCGGGCCCTGCGGTTTTGTAATGATTAATTGGTTTGATGACGAAACCAACTTGTTTTAATGAAATATTTGGTCTGAGCTCTTCCAGATGGTGTGTATAAAATGCCACTTTAATCTAGGAATAATTCGGATGAAACCATTGCAACAGGAGAAAGTTCTCCTGTTATAAAAAAAATTAGCAGCTCCTCTGTAGTTCTACAGAGGAGCTGCTAAATTTTTTTATGAGCTGTAGTCCGTACATTCCAGTGGTTTATCAACATAAAGTAAGAAGTTTAAATATTGTATTTGCTTTGTTGGGCTTGGCTCTTTTTTGCAGTTTTTTGGTGCCGGCTTTGGGCTTCACATGTTTTTTGGAAAATGGTTCTTCCTTTTTTACTATGCTCTCCCAGAACTTGCCAACCATAATCTTTTTGGGTCCCATTTTTGGTTACTTTTTCCTTAGCTATTCAAGCAATTTTGCTTTTTTTTCAAAGAGGCTTCCTCAATGTCTTCCCATTCAAGTAATGGCCTGAGCTCATTGGTGCATACTTGAAGTTGGCCACAGACAGCTAGCCTCAAAAACTAGCCCAGAAGAGGACAAAAATAAATTGGATTCAATTATTATAAGTGTTCCTGTATCTTTTTATTTCAATTTTGTATCGACGCATTGTATTTGACGCAGTACTTTGTAAACACTTATTGAATAGTTCTATACAAACTGTTAGAATTTTAAAACTATCACGCTGTTGATTAACTGTATTTTGGCGATTGTTTTGTGTGGGATTGCTTTTTCCTAGCTGTAAATGTTACTGCAGTACAGTGTTCATGGTTTTACACTGATCCTGACCAGAGTTTTAGTGTTGTTGCACTTAAAGGTTATACAGATCAGTTTTCTCTATCACTCTGTATCTCTTAAAGGGAATTTCCACAGTAGGCGTTAACAGCGTGTACGCATCGACTGCGGCCATATGCGCGTAACATTATTTTGGTGTATCTACACTGGCCGTGCGCAGGTCCGCGGCTTCTGATGCTCTCCCTGTGTAGTGTATGGAGCAGTGTAGAGGGCAGTACGGGCCAGAGAACTGATGTAGAGCAACACAAATCACATGCATGTGTTTGTTTTCATGGTCTCTGTGCGCTGGTTTGGCCAAAACGCAAGGCTTTATGAAAAAAAAAGATGTTCAGAATCACTGTAAAACCTGCCAGTCCTCCGGCTAATGTTTAGATTCAAGTCCTGTGTTCGTGTGGATGAGATCTAGAGCCAAGAGCCGCTAGAAAAAATCATCTTTCAGAATCGGAATCATAATCATTTTTATTGCCACGTAAGTAACAGGAGGTCACAGACTTGGAAATTGCTTTGGCTCGGTGCAACAGTCAGAGAGAGAGAATAAAATAAAAAGAATAAAAAACACTTCTAAGGAATACATTTAAAATAAAAATTTAAATAGAGTTACAAGATACGGATCATCATTATTTCATGATATACAACTATCATATTATATCATGATACCAATTTATTATGAAATAATAACAAGATACTGGAGATACAGAAGAAGAAGCTGTAGACGCCAGACCTTTTAATATTTACAGTCTATGGCCAGACCACATGTCAGGAATGTGGAATGGATCAGACAAAGGACCCGCTTTGCACTTTTCTGCGACAGCGAGGGGTGTCAGAGGTATCTTTGTTGTGGATGCAGGAAGATCGAGTAATTAATCAATGTGAATTTATGAACTGCTATCACCATAATTACTTATTTAGCACAGTGAGGCTGGCGTGTTAGCTTTTCAGCCTCACTTTGTACTTCCCATGATGGTCAAGTTAAAGGCTAAACTGTATTTGCTGGCCTTAAACCATTGTTATAGAAATAATGACCAAATAGGGTCATAATAATAATTGGGAATAATTTGATTGTTTATATATAGCGCTAAACTGCGTGAACAGAAGTAGGCTGTAGCCGTGCATGTTAGCACGGTTACAACTTGAAATTAACTGTATGGTGCTTTTTATTTCATTGTTTACAATCCTGAAATATCATAAATTATTGCGGATATATGTCATTATGGTGATTTAGCAGTTCATAAATTCATATTGATTACTTACTTGATCTTTCTGCATCGATACCTCTGACACCCCTCGCTGTTGCTGAAAGGAGCAAAGCAGGTCCTTTGCCTGAGCCATTCCACATTCCTGGCATATGGTCTGGCGTCTACAGCTTTTTCTTCTGTATCTCCAGTATCTTATTTCATAATACATTGGTATCATGAAATAACATGATAGTTGTGAATCATGAAATAACATGATCCGTATCTTGTACGAACATGAAATTATCTTGAAATAACATGATACCAGCGGGAAAAAAACACACAGAAGTTAGCCTAACAAGCTACCGTACAGGACAGACATGCATACACATGCATGATTCCCTCTGAGATTTTTTGGGAATTTAAAAGATAGCTGCACCCAATATCCTATTGTTTTTGCAATTTAAACTTTGTCACATTTAATTTAGGGATGCAGCGATCGGTATCGATCGATGTTTGCCTTGTTAACTACCACGGGTAGTTAAAAATGAGCCATTTGCAAATAAAAATGATGTTCACCGATGGTAGGCACGTGTGAAGAGATATTGTAGAGCGCTTCTGCGCACTTTCCTCAGTAGAAAAAACAAAAGATGGCAGCGGTCTAGTGGCAATATTTTACAGTATTAGAAAAAGATGAGCGTTATGCAGTTTGCAATACGTGTTCCAGTGAGATTTCAAGGAGGGGGACTGCTAGAAAATCATTTAACACAACAAATCTCATTGGACATTTGAGAAACAAGCATGAAGCTGTGTACAGCGATTGCATGCAAGCTCAAGAAAATCGGAAAACTGAAGCCGCCAAGAAATATATACATTTAAATAAAAAGAAAAAAAACATCAGCCAAACATCGGTCAAGTTATGTTAAACATCTGTATCAGTCCAAAATTTCACAATCTGTCCATCCCTACTCTAAATAAATGGATGTTCTCTTTTACAAGTATGCATTGTGTTAAAATCTGTACATCTCAACTGCACGGCAAACCTATTTTAATGTCATGTGAATTATATTAATTACTTACCTCCCTCGACCCCAGAAAATGAATACAAAACTATTTTCTGCGAGTGGCAGTGGCTCAGTTGGTAGAGCATTGGCCTGAAGCCAGTGGGTTCGAGTCCACCGACTCTCTATGATGTCTGCTGTCGTTATGCCCTTGGGCAAGACCTAAACCCCACTGCCTGAAGCACCCGCTGAAAGATCAAGGCTATGCTCCTACAGACAGAGCAGCCATCCTCCTGTGGACTCACCACCTGTATGAGGATCAGTGAGGAGGCTCTGTGAAACTGGTGGCAGCTGATCCCCCCCCCCCACCCAGAAATAGACATTATTTTGACCAATCTGGTGATGTTGGACAATTTCCAAAGGCACACCGAACAACATCTCAAGGCGCACCCTTGTGCCACAACACACTGGTTGAAAAACCCATGAATAGGGTTCAAATTGTAAACTTACTTGGATGGTCTGGCTTTTTCTTTACAGGCTGCTGCAGGAGCACAACATGGAGGCGTCTCAGCTTGGAGCAGAAGGGGACGGTGAGATGACCGTTCTGTTGGCGCCCAGTCCCCAGAGCGAGGCCATGACCTACGAGATGGAGGAGCTGTCCCTGCAGCCACTGCCTCCACTCAACGAACGCAAGAACGGTGAGGACAGAGAAGTGCCGGGCCACTGATGGATGCTCCGCTTTGTCTTTAAATAACACCTGTAGTTCCAGCAGTAGTTTCATGCAAACCAAATCAACTTTTCTGACCTGAGAAGCTGTCTTTTAAGCAATAATATTATAAGATTTTTAAGGTAAAATAAAATATTGCTGGTTGTAAAATATATTATTAGTTTGTAACTCTATTCTTTGTGTCCTTTTTAGGACACTAAATGTTGGGCCTAACCCTGAGGTTTGGAATGACTGACAATGACAATCTTGAATCTTGTGAATCGTTTCAATTCACATCTCAAACCTTATAACTACGGATGCATACTTGCCGATATTGAATACCGATAGGAGTACTGCATTGTGTTAATGATAAAATTACATCCATCCTCGACAAACTGGAGGAAACCATTCCTAGTGTTGGTGATGGACAGGCAGAAGCGTTGCACTTGATTACCTACCTGGATTGGACTCTCCTGTGGGCCTCCACAAGTTCTCGGCAGTGAGCCAAGAGGAAGTGATCTCTGTGGTCACATCTTCTAAAGCCTCAACTTGCATTTTAGATACAATCCCGACTTGGCTGTTTAAGGACACACTTCCCTTGATAATAGAGCCTATCTTAAATATAATAAACGCATCCATACAATGTGGCTATGTCCCACAAGCTTTTAAAACCGCTGTAATCAAACCCCTTCTGAAGAAAACAAACCTGGATCCGGAACTACTTACTAGCTACAGACCGATCTCCAACCTTACTTTCATATCTAAAATCCTGGAAAAGCTTATAGCTGAACAGCTTTGCTGCCACCTGCAGGAAAATAACATGTTAACATGAAAATAACATAGTCAAAGTCACAAATTACTTACTACTAGCTGTAAGCAAGTGTCAGTGCTGGTCCTACTGGACCTTAGCGCTGCATTTGACACAATAGACAATAGCTTAGGTCCTGGATCCGTGGGAGCGGATCTCTTTCTCAAACTATGGGTCTCCCCGAGGTTTCTCACTTTTCCCACTGAGTTTTTCCTTGCCAATGCAAGGATTAATGTCCTTAATCCAAAGAACTTTCTCAAGGGAACCCTTGAGAAAGTTCAAAGGTTACTCGTTGAAAATAAAGCTACTCGTGGCGTGGTAGTGAGTTTGATCAAGTTGCTGGTTATACGCTTTTGTTTTGGACCCACCTCGTGACAGTTTTGCCTTACACAACATACAGTACACTTTACTCTTGTCTCTCTCGTTTACCGTATAAAAATTGCAATACGTACGACATCATGTCTGCTTGCCGGTAGCTTGTTTGCCACTATCTTGCTTTCTCACTGCTGGCTCTGGGCGATCACCATGGCAACACAGCCATGCCGCACAGCTGTCTGCTGTTGTGAAGCTAATGTGAAATGTGGGTATTGGTTGCCGGAATCAGGTCCTATGGTATGAGTACCACGAGGTGCATCCCTTTTGATTTGTCCACTTTTGTGTCTATGACTTGATGCAATCCATACATTAAAAAAAGACTTCATTGTTTTTGTCTGTCTTCTCCTTTTTGTGCTTGTTTTTTTTACTCGCTAGTTCCTCTCTGATGATAGTGTGTGGTGCTTTTTCAGTTCTCCAGTTGCGGCTTCAGCAGCGGCGGACCCGAGAACAGCTGGTGGACCAGGGCATTATGCCACGTTAGTAACACAGCACACACACATGGACTATACACCACAAAATTATGAATGTGTGTTGGTTACAGTGTCATGGAATACACTACTTTTACCTACAGTTTACTTTTGAATGTGCTGGAAATGGCTGCAAGTCATAAGTTGCTCTTAAACGGTTGTTGTTTTGTGCTTTACAATTGTTATTTTTCTTGCTTGTTTCTACCTGAGATGTTGCTGCAGTACAGTGTTCATGGTTTTGTATGGGTCCAGACCAGAGCAGAGAAGATTCATTGTCTGAACCAAGAGGATCAGCCGAAAATCCACTGGAAGAATGCTAACTTTATGAAAAAGCAGAGAAAATGGTACGAACCCAGCGGCAACTCCACCTCTGCTGCTGTGACCCGCCCTGCTCCACCCAGAGGCTACACCCCTATATGGATATAGGTTCAGTATATAAATGGGTAACTCAGCGCGGATGTTCAGAATTCTTTGTTCAGTTTTCATGTAGTTCCAGAGCCTATTAGAGGCTTGATTCGGAGGCTCCGCGAAAACAAACAACTGAGCATGCGCGCAGCTGCGAGCATCAACGCCGATGATTGACAGCCCTTGGCATGACTCGATTGGTTAACCTCGACGGCACCGTGGATTCTGAACTATAGCTAAGAGGCAAGGCAAGTCCCGAAGGCGGGACTTGCCTGTAATATTAGAATTAATAAAATTACTTATTTTATATCAACATTTAAGGCCAGGAGGTCAATTTAACACATTTCCTAAAATTTGTAATTCATTTAGAGTTACAGACTATCACTTTAATGACAATAAGACCTCGGTTTTATATAGCACTTTTTGGACACTCAAAGACACTTCACATAGGTAGATACTTTATTGATCCCCATAGGATAAATTCAGGTGTCCAGTAGTAGCAGCGACACATGCATCCAAACAAATAAAGAGATAATTCTATTTTGTGTATATGTGTGTGTATATATATATATATTATATAATTAGTATTAAAATAGATAATAATATAAATAAAATAGTATTCACTTTAGGTCCCAGCAGCAGAGGAGTAGCCGCTTGGTTGGGACCAAGCGGCTTGGTCTCTGCTCTGGTCCAAAGTGAGATGCTGAATGCTTAATTAGCATTTTCACCTGGTCCACTTGGAATGAACCATGAATCCTCTCTGCTCTGGTCTGGACCAGTGCAAAACCATGAACACTGTACTGCAGCAACATCTCAGGTTGAAAAAAGCAAGCAAAATAACAATTTTAAAGCACACACACACAAAAAACTGTTTTGTTACTTAGGACTTGCTGCCCTTTCCTGTGCATTCAAAAGTGAATCTGTCAACATGTCATTATTCATTCACTCCATACACTGTGGTGTACTGTTGCCACTGCTGGCTTGGGGCACACTGAGCTGAGCGAAGTGAAGCAACCAGTATGTGCCATCAGTCACGGACGCACACAACCGGCACTGCCTAACTTTAATTTTAGTTTCGTCCTTACAGAGCATCTTTAACATTCTGTGAACAAGTCAGCCCAAACCATGATGCCTTAATCTATGATAGAAAACATGTTAGCATTTGCATACGGAGTTGATTGGCTAAATGAGGGTGGTCCTCTCTCTTTCACCTTTTTGTCAAATTTTTTGATCAATTTTTTTCACACAGGCCAAAAATACAGGCATGTTAAAACTAGTGGTAGAATCCGTTTTCAGAGCCAGGAACAGAGTCAGGGATAATCATCTGTGGTTTCAAAGTAAGGTACTCATGCTTTAATCCATATTAAGTATTTTTGTTTTTGTGCAATTGTTTTATTTTATTCCTTGAAACTTATTATTACAAATTTAGTTATGATCTAAAGGCAATAAAAAAATACAAAGCATGGTGAAAAGCAGAAAACCGGTCCCACTGGGCAATAAGACAAAAGAATTATGTTCATGCTGTTCTCTGGTGAATGGAGTATTTTCTTAATTTACAATGACGTTGGTCTCTGGCAGCTCTGAAGAGTCCAGCCACGTTCCATGGGCAGATCCGCAGTTTGGAGAGAGCCAGGGTGAGGCCTGCTGTCAGATTTACAGTGCCTTGCGAAAGTATTTCTTTCTATGCTCTATCAAAGAGCAGGTGCATTTATACGGAGACTTGATTACACACAGGTGCATTCTATTTATCATCCTCAGTCATTTAGGACAACATTGGATCATTCAAAGATCCTCACTGAACTTCTGGAGTGAGTTTGCTGCACTAAAAGTAAAGGGGCAGCACGCCCCACTTTTCAGTTTTTAATTTGTTAAAGTTTAAATTATCCAATAAATTTCGTTCCACTTCACGATTGTGTCCCACTTGTTGTTGATTCTTGACAAAAAATTAAAATTTTATATCTTTATGTTTGAAGCCTGAAATGTGGCGAAATGTTGAAAGGTTCAAGGAATACTTTCGCAAGGCACTGTATAAAAGATGAAAAGTGGTGTGATTGTGAAAATAATGTCTCCTCCTCATCAGACGGAGAACTTTCTGAAGCACAAAATCCGCAGTCGTCCGGAGAGGGCTGAGCTGGTCAGAATGCACATCCTTCAAGGTACATTTTATTTTTTATTTTTTACTTTATTTTTGCAAAATTACATACATACAACAAACAAAAGTGTGTGTGTGTGTGTGTGTATGACATCATTATTTGTATGTAGAATATCCATTTCCATCCATCCATTTTCTTCCGCTTTATCCGTTGCCGGGTCGCGGGGGCAGCAGTCTAAGCAGAGACGCCCAGACTTCCCTATCCACACACACTTCCTCCAGCTCGTCCGGGGGGACCCCAAGGCGTTCCCAGGCCAGCTGAGAGACATAGTCCCTCCAGCGTGTCCTAGGTCTTCCGCGGGGCCTCCTCCCGGTGGGACGTGCCCGGAACACCTCCCCAGGGAGGCGTCCAGGAGGCATCCGGAACAGATGCCCGAGCCACCTCAACTGGTTCCTCTCGACGTGGAGAAGCAGCGGCTCTACTCCGAGCTCCTCCCGTGTGACTGAGCTCCTCACCCTATCTCTAAGGGAGCGCCCAGCCCCTCTGCGGAGGAAGCTCATTTCGACCGCTTGTATCCGCGATCTCGTTCTTTCGGTCATTACCCAAAGCTCATGACCATAGGTGAGGGAGGGAACGAAGATTGACCGGTAAATCGAGAGCTTTGCCTTTCGGCTCAGCTCCTTCTTTACCACAACAGTCCGATACAGCGACCGCATCACTGCGCACGCTGCACCGATCCGCCTGTCAATCTCACGCTCCATTCTTCCCTCACTCGTGAACAAGACCCCGAGATACTTGAACTCCTCCACTTGAGGAAGGACCTCTCCACCCACCTGAAGAGGGCAGGGCACCTTTTTCCGGTCGAGCACCATGGCCTCAGATTTGGAGGTGCTGATTCTCATCCCAGCCGCTTCACACTCGGCTGCAAACCGTCCCAGTGCATGCTGCAGGTCCTGGTTCGTTGGAGCCAACAGGACAACATCGTCCGCAAACAGCAGAGATGAAATCCTGTGGTCCCCGAACCGGACCCCCTCCGACCCCTGGCTGCGCCTAGATATTCTGTCCATAAATACAGTGAACAGAACCGGTGACAAAGGGCAGCCCTGTCGGAGGCCAACATTCACCGGGAACAGGTCTGACTTACTGCCGGCAATGCGAACACAGCTCTGGCTCCGGTCATACAGGGACCGGATGGCCCTCAGCAGAGGACCCCCGACCCCGTACTCCCGGAGAACCCCCCAAAGGACACCCCGGGGAACACAGTCGAACGCCTTCTCCAAATCCACAAAGCACATGTGGACAGGTTGGGCGAACTCCCATGAACCCTCGAGTATCCGATGGAGAGTATAGAGCTGGTCCAGTGTTCCGCGACCGGGACGAAAACCACACTGCTCCTCCTGGATCCGAGATTCGACCATCGGCCGTAGCCTCCTCTCCAGTACCTTGGAGTAGACCTTACCGGGGAGGCTGAGGAGTGTGATCCCACGATAATTGGAACACACCCTCCGGTCCCCCTTCTTGTAGAGAGGGACCACCACCCCGGTCTGCCACTCCATTGGCACCGCCCCCGATCGCCACGCGATGTTGCAGAGACGTGTCAGCCAAGACAGTCCTACAACATCCAGAGACTTTAGATAATCAGGGCGGATCTCATCCACACCCGGAGCCTTGCCACCATGGAGGCTACCAACCACCTTGGTGACCTCAGCCAGGGAGATGGATGTATCCGCCCCAACATCCTCAGCCTCTGCCTCTGAAACAGAGGACGTGACGGGGGGATTGAGGAGAACCTCAAAGTATTCCTTCCACCGCCCGACAATATCCCCAGTCGAGGTCAGCAGCTCTCCACCCGCACCGTACATGGTGTTGGCAAAGAACTGCTTCCCCCTCCTGAGGCGCCAGACGGTTTGCCAGAATTTCTTTGAGGCCGACCGATAGTCATGCTCCATGGACTCTCCGAACTCCTCCCAGTCCCGGGTTTTTGCCTCTGCAACAGCCCGGGCCGCGGCACGCTTGGCCTGCCGGTACTGGACAGCTGCCTCAGGAGTCCCCCGAACCATCATGGCTCGATAGGACTCCTTCTTCAGCCTGACAGCATCCCTTACTGCCGGTGTCCACCACCGGGTTCGGGGGTTGCCGCCGGGACCAGCACCAGAGACCTTGCGACCACAGCTATGAGCCGCCGCATCGGCGATTGAGGCAGAGAACATGGTCCACTCGGACTCCATGTCCCCCTCCTCCACCGGGACCTGGGAGAAACTCTCCCGGAGGTGTGAGTTGAAAGTCCGTCTGACAGGGGGCTCAGCGAGACGTTCCCAGCAGACCCTCACTATACGCTTGGGTCTGCCAGGTCTGACCGGCTTCTTCCCCTGCCAGCGGATCCAACTCACGACCAGGTGATGATCGGTTGACAGCTCCGCCCCTCTCTTTACCCGAGTGTCCGAGACACGCGGTCGAAGGTCAGATGATACGACAACAAAGTCGATCATCGACCTCCGGCCTAGGGTGTCCTGGTGCCACGTGCACTGGTGGACACCCTTGTGCTCGAACATGGTGTTCGTGATGGACAAACTGTGACTGGCACAGAAGTCTAACAACTGAACACCGCTCGGGTTCAGATCAGGGGGGCCGCTCTTCCCGATCACCCCTCTCCAAGTGTCACTGGCGTTTCCCACATGGGCGTTGAAGTCCCCCAGGAGAATAACGGAGTCCCCGGGCGGTGCACCGTCCAGTACCCCTCCCAAGGACTCCAAGAAGGCCGGGTACTCTGCACTGCTGTTAGGCCCGTAGGCCGTCACAACAGTGAGAGACTTATCCCCCACCCGGAGGCGGAGGGACGCGACCCTCTCATTCACCGGGGAGAACTCCAACACGTGGCGGCTGAGATGGGGGGCAATGAGAATGGCCACCCCAGCTCGCCGCCTCTCCCCGCGGGAAACACCAGAAAAGTGGAGCGTCCAACCCCTCTCAAGGAGTTGGGTTCCAGAGCCCAAGCTGTGTGTGGAGGTGAGGCCGACTATCTCTAGTCGGTATCGCTCAACCTCCCCCACGAGCTCGGGCTCCTTCCCCCCCAGTGAGGTGACGTTCCACGTCCCAAGAGCCAGCTGTTGTGTGTGCGGACTGGGTCGTCGAGGTCTCCGCCTTCGACTGCTGCCCAGTCCTCTCTGCACCGTTTCGCCACCACGGACCCCTCTGCGGGTGGTGGGCCCACAGGAGGGACTGCCCACGTCGTCCATTCGGGCTGAGCCCGGCCGGGCCCCGTGGGCTAAGGCCCGGCCACCAGGCGCTCGCCTACGAGCCCCGACCCCAGGCCTGGCTCCAGGGTGGGGCCCCGGCTGCGCCATGCCGGGCGACGTCACTGATTTCTTTTGAGTGCTGTCCATGGTGTCTTCTGGACTGCTCTTTGTCTGACTCGTCACCCGAGACCTGTCTGCCATGGGAGGCCCTACCAGGGGCATGAAGCCCCAGACAGCATAGCTCCCAGGATCATCCGAGTACTCAAACTCCCCCACCACGTTAAGGTGGCAGTCCAGGGGGGATTATATGTAGAATATAATTTTAAAAATGACAGATAATAAGCAGAATACTGGATAAATAATGGTAAGTTTTAATCTATAAGTAGATAGAACAAGAGATGAATGCAGTTATATTAATAAATGGTACAATAATAAATGCATAATGAGACAAACTATATTAATATACTTATTAAAGTGATAGTCTGGAACTCTAAATTAATTACAAATTTTACGAATTGTATTAAATTGACCTCCTGGCTTTAAATATTGATATATATAATAAGTCATTTTATGAATTCTAATATAACGGGTAAGTCCCGCCCTCCCTTAGCTTTTTACTTATTTTTTACATTACAGCCTATAGTTCAATGTTTTTTAATCTGAATTTCATGTGATGGATCAGAAAACAATAGTCTAAGTTGGTGAAGTGAATTGAGGAAAATATATACATAAAACTATTTTTCAGAAATAAAAGACTGGATATTGGCATGTGCATATGTATTCACCCCCTTTGTTATGAAGCCAATAAAAAGCTCTGCTGCAACCAATTACCTTCAGAAGTCACATAATTAGTGAAATGATGTCCACTTGTGTGCAAACTAAGTGTCACATGATCGGTCAGTACATATACACACCTTTTTTGAAAGGCCTCAGAGGCTGCAACCCCTAAGCAAGAGGCACCACTAACCAACCACTGCCATGAAGACCAAGGAACTCTCCAAACAAGTAAGCGACAGTGTTGTTGAGAAGAACAAGTCAGGGTTAGGTTATAAAAAAATATCCAAATCTTTGATGATCCCCAGGAGCACCATCAAATCTATCATAACCAAATGGAAAGAACATGGCACAACACCAAACCTGCCAAGAGACGGCCGCCCACCAAAACTCACAGACCGGGCAAGGAGGGCATTAATCAGAGAGGCAGCACAGAGACCTAAGGTAACCCTGGAGGAGCTGCAGAGTTCCACAGCAGAGACTGGAGGATTGTCGTCCTATGTACATAGGACGACAATAAGCCGTACGCTCCATAGAGTTGGGCTTTATGGCAGAGTCGCCAGAAGAAAGCCATTACTTTCAGCAAAAAACAAAATGGCACGTTTTGAGTTTGCGAAAAGGCATGTGGGAGACTCCCAAAATGTATGGAGGAGGGTGCTCTGGTCTGATGAGACTAAAATTGAACTTTTCGGCCATCAAGGATAACGCTATGTCTGGCGCAAACCCAACACATCACTTCACCAAAAGAACACCATCCCCACTAGGGATGAGAACCTCAGGGTACCTCACGATACGATACGCAATACAAAGCTCACGATAACGATATCGCAATAACGATTATATCACGATATGACGATTATCGATATATTGGTGGAGGGGCGACAGTAGCTCAGTTGGTAGAGCATTGGCCTTTGAGCCTGAAGGTTGTGGGTTCAAGCCCACCGTAAGACCTATGACTCACGACTCCCACTGATGACTGCTGTCGTTGTGTCCTTAGGCAAGACACTTAACCCCACTTTGCCTGAAGCCCCCACTGAAAGATCTCAGCTCCTGTGGACTCACCACCTGCAGGAGGATCAGTGAGGGGCTGGTGCTCTGTGAACTGGGTGGCATCTCTGGCCACCCCCCCGACCCAGACATGGATTAAGGGGAAGAAAATGGATGGATGGATGGACGATATATTGGTCAGAAATATACCATATGCCAATTTATGGCATAAATAAAAGAGAAATTTTAAGTGAAAAAATACACTTTATTTCATGATAAATGGAATGGAGATGCGTAATGTAGTCATATATTAAGTATTGATACTAATTTTTAAAAAATAAAAAAATTGAAACGAAATTAAAAACAAAATCGATACTTGGCAAATGCATATCGATAATCGATCGCAGGAGAAAGTATCACGATATATCGTCACACTCCTAATCCCCACATTTAAACATGGTGGTGGCAGCATCATGCTGTGGGGATGTTTTTCAGGAGCCGGGACTGGGAAACTGGTCAGAGTTGAGGGAAAGATGGATGGTGCTAAATACAGGGATATTCTTGAGCAAAACCTGTACCACTGTGCGTGATTTGAGGCTAGGACAGAGGTTCACCTTCCAGCAGGACAATGACCCCAAACACACTGCTAAAGCAACACTTCAGTGGTTTAAAGCCTAGCGTACATCGGACTGGCAACTGATTATATCCGTCGCATAAGAGTTTCTGCCCCGCACACATCGACAATCTGACGAAAACGGGCAACTCCTAGTAGCAGGCCAGTCTCGGGAATAACAGCGCGTACATCGACAGCAACTGGCCGTCAACTACAGTGTGTTTTCTGACATAAACTGTTGCGGGCTCGCAATAAACGCAATACACACACGTTGTCGGAGCGGCGCATGGAGCGCGCACATCGGGTCATATCTCCGAAACTGAGGACAACTAGTTGCCGAAAAGTAGAACACGGGCAACTGACTGAAACTGGAGACCGACTGTTTATCTCCAGTTGTAAGAGTGCGCACATCGACCGATTTCGGCAACTGATCATCTCCCATCATCTACTCTCAGTTGCCAAAAGCCGCCTTGCAACTAGTTGTCCGCAGTTTCTCTGTCGATGTACGCTAGGCTTTAGGGAAACATGTAAATGTGTTGGAATGGCCAAGTCAAAGCCAAGTCAATCCAATAGAAAATCTGTGGTCAGACTTAAAGATTGCTGTTCACAAGCGCAAACCATCCAACTTGAAGGAGCTGGAGCAATTTTGCAAAGAGGAATGGGCAAACATCCCAGTGGTAAGATGTTTCAAGCTCATAGAGACTTATCCAAAGCAACTTGGAGCTGTGATTTCCGCAAAAGGTGGCTTTACAAAGTATTGACTTTAGGGGGGTGAATAGTTATGCACATTGACCTTTTCTGTTATTCTGTCCTATTTGTTGTTTGCTTCACAATAAAAATAAGACTTCAAAGTTGTGGGCATGTTCTGTACATTAACTGATGCAAATCCTCAAACAATCCATGTTAATTCCAGGTTGTGAGGCAACAAAACACACAAAATGCCAAGGGTGAATACTTTTGCAAGGCATAGACCAATCAGAAAGGAAGTGAAAGGGAGCTTGGGTCATTTTTTTCAAATCCTGTACCTCTGTCTTTTTTCTGACAAACTCCAGACAATCACTTTAAGAATATATATGGAAATCATAATTTCTATATATTATAGGTACTTTGAAGCCAGCGCGCGGAGAAAGGGCAGGCTCTATTTGTGGCACCTGCCATAATTGATCAGTGGCATATACTCAACAATTGGCATTTTAAACCTACAGAGTTCAGTATTGCTCCATATCCTGTAAAAAAGTGTAGCATCTAAAGTTTGCTGCAGAATTTTGATCTGTTAAGTGGTGTGCATGCGGCAGACTCTGCAAAAGTTTGGTTAATTTCTCTAGAGACGCGTCAAAGTTCCCATGTTACCGTGTTTTACAGTTTATCAGTGTTTCTACCATCAGAGCTGTATGAAGATTGCGCATCAATGCCACTTCCTTAGGCAATGCTGTGAGAGCCGATAGATGCTGCTTGTGGCTTTTATTATAACCTCTATGGATTTCTTTTGGGAATGTTAGAAAAACTAGTAGCAAATAGTCTTGTTTACTTCTATAGCTTCAGAATCATGATCATAGAGCTCATATGTATCAAACTGTCAGCCTCTTTATGGTTTCTACCTCTTACTCTATCTAAGAGGGGGAAGCTTTTGGAAAAATGAACCTTTTTTGAACCTTCCATAGACTTGAACATGGCGAGAAGAGGATTTATGACAACTCAGGGTTTCGTTTGAGCTTTGTTTTGGTCAAATATATAACAAAATCCCATGCTCACTGACCTTTTGGGATCCAAACTACCATTCAAAAGAATAATTGATTATCAAAACAAATTTTCACATCAGTACCACTAAAGTGTAGCATCTAAAGTTATAACATGGAACTATGTAAAGTTCCATGTTATAACTACACTTTATGAGGTGGTGAGTCCATAGGAGGATGGCTGTTCTGTCTGTGAGAGCATAGCCTTGATCTTTCAGTGGGGGATTCAGGCAGACTGGGGTTAAGTGTCACAACTTTCAGGATCAGAAAAGTAAAAAAAAAAAATAATTAAGAACTAGAACAGATTAAGGACTAAAACAGTACATGCTCTAAGGTCTGAAGAGTGCTTTTCAAATTATTTTACCTGTGTTAAACCCCAGACCCAGCTCCATACTTAAACACAGCCTTTCATACTTATTAGAAACTGGAGCGGAGCCATCCTTACAGGCCACCCAGATGAAACTGAAGCGCGCCCGTCTGGCTGACGACCTGAATGAGAAGATCGCCCAGAGACCGGGGCCCATGGAGCTGGTGGAGAAAAACATCTTGCCCGTGGACTCCACGCTCAAGCAGGCTATCATCGGTAAGCATGCTGGCACTACATGTACTACAGGCAAAGTAGTCTTTTGATGTCAGAAAATTTAAAATAAATTTCCTCAATTGCTAATTAGAGTAGTCCCTCCAATCCCGATCAGATTGTTAAACTTCAACACCAATCCAATGCTTTTATCATTTAAAAAAAAAAAAAGATTTATATTTTTAAAAAAGTATAGCAAGTACACTCTATATTTTTTGTTTACTTGCATAATTTATAGATGATGCATCAATATTCCTTCAGTGTTTGGTAGTTAGGAGACAGTGTTTTATAGTATTTTGGCGACTTTAACTCATTGACTGCCAGCCATTTTAAATGACTTGACTGATTTTCAAGACTCACAGAATATTGTGTGCTATGACCTATAGAAAAAATTGAAACCAGAGTCTGTCAAAAAGAGGGAAGTGTGACAGAAAGCATCGGTCTTAAACAAAAAGGAAAATTAGGTGTTTGTGAAAACAGACGAACAATGCAGAAAAGTGATTGTAACACTATTTAGTTTAACTTTAGCATCTCCTCAAACATGTCCAGGATCATACATGTAGAAAACACTTTAGCATCTCCTCAAACATGTCCAGGATCATACATGTAGAAAACACTTTAGCATCTCCTCAAACATGTCCAGGATCATACATGTAGAAAACACTTTAACATCTCCTCAAACATGTCCAGGATCATACATGTAGAAAACACTTTAGCATCTCCTCAAACATGTCCAGGATCATACATGTAGAAAACACTTTAACATCTCCTCAAACATGTCCAGGATCATACATGTAGAAAACACGTTAGCATCTCCTCAAACATGTCCAGTGTCTTACACGTTTTTTTAATGCAAAATGATACGTTTCATGGCACACACACCCACATCCACAAAGTGTTGTTTGAATATTTAAAAAGTGCTCATCCAAACAACGTCAAAACATTTACATATTGAAAGAGCCAATGACAAACTATGCCAGAAAAAAGGTCCATTATTCATCCTTTAGGTGGTGCTATTATTACGTCAACAAGAGTAAATCACAGAATAGCAAAATTACAATGATTACCACTGTAAGTGAAAATAAATCAAAGGGTATAGGCTTTTTACCTATACTATAAGTGCAATAGAATACTGTAAGTAAGTAAGTAAGTAAGTTTTTATTTATATACCGCCTTTTCACTGCAGATCTGAGTCTCAAAGCGGTTTACAATTGTTAATTTTTGGGCATTTGTCTCTCACTCCACACAGAGATGGGAGCGGCCAGTACAGGAGGCACATGCCAGAACTATTGGACATATTTTTAGTGGTAGGGGAAACCGGAGTACCCGGAGGAAACCTACGCAGACACGGGGAGAACATGCAAACTCCACTCAGAAAGGCCCTGGTCCGACCGGGATTCGAACCCAGGACCTTCTTGCTGAGAGGCGAGAGTGCTATCCACTCAGCCACCGTGCCGCCCGTGTCTTTGTGTGTTCGCGCGCGCATGTATGTGCGTTTATGCTTGCATGTGTTTGTGTGGTTACATCTACAGAGTGTAGTTCTGTTTAGTCCAGGGAGCGCTGTGATGATAACTGGACTTTGTCGCTGGCTCTTGGTGCAGGCTCAGTGATATTATTAGCGATAGTCTACTTTTCTGTGGCTTTTTTTGGGGTGCTCCGCTGGTCTGTTGCCCTGACCCTCCACATGGTCTCTGTCAGCTCTAGAGACACATCTACATGGTCCATTTCATGTTTAGTCTCAAATGCCGAATCAGATTTGTCGTGTTGAATGTAGCTCTGCTGCTCCCACCTCCAAATCAACATGTCGCATACTTTGCATGTTGCATACTTTGCATGTTGCTTTTGTGTTGTCCTCGGTTTTCTAATGATAAATACTACCACACTTTTGACATGTTTTAACTAGTAGCCACATGAAACGCCACTGATATTTTACAGCGACTATCCATTTTCTTCCGCTTCACCCGTTGCTGGGTCGCGAGGGCAGCAGTCAAAAACCATGAAATATCATCCCAATCTCGAGATCAGATTGAGACATCCCAATTGCTAATTATTTACTGTACAGAACATAATACTCAAAGTCCTGGTTGGGGAAATAAAAAGAGTAAAATTCTCATCATGATTCAAAACAGTCAACAACACTTGGCTTCATTTTTCCCTTCACAATGAAAAGTTAATACACTGAGTGCACCCATTGAAAGTAACATTTGTTGTATTTACAATTCTCTTTGAACATGAATTTAAATTAGCTCAATATGTGTTGCTCATATTTCATATTAAAAGGAAAAACTAGGCACCTATTCAGATGTCTAATATAATATTGGATAGATACACTTTGTTGATCCTGTAGGGGATATTCAGGTGTCCAGTAGCAGCAGAAACAAATCGATCCACACACAAAAAAAACAAATAAAATGATCATTCTAAAAAGCTAATAATAAGAAACAGCACAGTCATAACAGCAGAGATGGTGTAGCCCCTGGGCGGAGCAGGACGGAGCACAGCAGCAGAGATGGAGCCGCTTGGTGCGGACCATTTTCTCTACTCTGGTAAAAAGCTGAATGCTTTGTTAGTATTTTTCAAAACGTTTGTTTGTTTTATTGTTTATTGGGGATCCCCATTCGCTTCCACCAATGTGGTTGCAAATCTTCCTGGGGTCCCAGTTAAGACAAGTGTATTACAAAAAATAAAATACAAATAGAAATTATACATTAACTAATACAATACATTAGTCAATGCAATACATAAATTAAGGCATAAATTAAGGCAAATTAAGGCATTGAGGCAGTGTCTCTCTCTGGACTAACTCGTTTTAATGGATTTTTTACTGTTTTTAATTCTTTTTAAAGTTACAGTTTAATGTATTTTTTATTGAAACTTCTTCACAAGCTCTTGAGAATTGTGAATTGGAGCCCAGAGCAAACTGAGACAATGAAGATGTGTTGCTGAAAACGTGCTAGCTCGGAGGCTACCACGAGGGCACCACGTCATGAGCTTTTATTAAACCTACACAGACATGGAACGCGACACTGCAATAACCACAAACCCTATAAACGACATTAGTCGCCTCACATTGGAGCTTCGTGAGAGGGACCGTGCCACTATTGCAGACCTCCGTAAAGAAGTCCTTCGCCTCACTGCAGAGCTGCAGGATAAACAGTCACTCGTGTCCAAACTCTTTGATGTCGCTGGCGGGCAGCACTCACGGCTTATGTCACTGAGCGCTGCATACTGTGACACTGTCGTGTGGGAGAGGTCTGTCAGCTCTGGACCCTCCTGTTCTACACCTAAGCGCCCGGTTCCGAATGAGGAACCCGCGAACTGCGAGGAGCCATCCAGCGCCGTGGCCCATGTCCTGAGCCTGTCAAACCGCTATGCAGCCCTCTCCACTGACATCCCAGCCCCCTCAGCAGAACCTCTGGACTCTGCAGCGTACTCTGCCGTTCGTGGATCTAAGTCCACTGCGAGAAAAACGCTCCTAAAGGAAGCCGTCCTCAGACGAAAGAGTGGTCATTCCCCTTCTCTGACCCCAGTGCATCACCACCACTTACCTCCACCGGGTCAGCAGCAGCGACCCGAGCCTGCTCCTCTCGCTGCTCCAGCGTCCCCGAGCACACAGCGTGGGTTGCCCGGAGCTGAGAATCAACACCCCCGCTCCCCTCCATGTGTTCAGCAGCGCCCTGGTTCGGACTCATCCCTGGATGAGCCCGCTGGTTCTGGCCATGGACACCGAGCGCCCTCTCCGCAGCTACGTCCACTCTTCGCCCCGACTACTTTGATTGTTGGAGATTCCATCGTGAGACACGTCCGCTTTTTTAACGCGGTCACTCAGTGTTTTCCCGGAGCCACTGTACCAGACCTGCTCATCCGTCTCCCTCCTCTGCTTCAGTCCCTGCCTGATACCATTTCAAAGGTAATCGTGCATGTGGGGATCAACGACATGAAGCTGCAGCAGTCCGAGGTCACAAAGAAGCATTTTATGGATCTATTCCGCCTTCTCCAGTCCTCCGGGTTGTGTGTTTTTATCTCTGGTCCAGTCCCGACTGTAAACCGGGGAGACTGCTTGTACAGTCGCGTAGTGGCGCTGAATATGTGGCTCCAGTCTGCATGTAGCTCGTTTAACTTTATTTTTGTGAATAACTTTGGCCTTTTCTGGAAGCGTCACGTGGCTTATCGTCCAGACGGTCTGCACCCAAATAGATATGGCACCAGCTTGTTGACGGATTACTTACGCCACGTTATTCAGTGTTCCCCGAGGGGGGCGTGACTGTTTACATCGGAGCCCCCACCACCACCACCCTCCTCCTTCTTCTCCTGCTCACCAGCACCGGGTGAGTACTGTGGTGCAAACACTGACCCCTTTCCGTCTGGCAGTGAAATAACAGTCTCGCCTCTGAACCGTGCTGCCTCCTGCTCTAAACAACGAAGCAATGCCGTCCTGAATCCGGGACTTACACAGCAAAAGAGTTCACATGTTAGACAAATAGAAACTGTGTGTGTTCCTCGCATCAGTTTCAAAAAATGTTTTTATTTGAATGGAAAACAAAATCATAACAGAAGGACAGCAGTTAGACATTCAAATCTAATTCCTGCTCCTTGTAAAAATCAATTAACTAAACCCACTGTTACTGATATTAATTTTAAAATTGCTATGCTTAATGTCAGATCACTGTGCAACAAATCATTTTTAATTAATAATTTTATCCGTTCTTATGATCTTGATTTTATGTTTCTGACTGAAACTTGGCTTGACCAGAGTACAGGTAATGCGGTTTTAATAGAAGCAACGCCACCAAACTTCAAATTTGAATCTGAAATCCGAGAAAATAAAAGGGGGGGAGGCATTGCTGCATTATTTAGAGATCGTATTATCTCTCATAGAATTCTCCTTGGAAATTTTCTATCATTTGAGTATATTTCTTTTAAAATAGAACAAAAACAATCTCCTTCTATTCTTATCATTGTCCTGTACAAGCCACCGCAGTCTTGTCACAATTTCTTGGATAATTTCACTGAGTTGCTTTCAGTTGTTTGCACCGATTTTGATAGTTTAGTGATTACAGGTGATTTTAATATTCATGTGGATAATGGCAATGACAAAAATGCAAAAGAGCTGAGTTCTGTACTTGAAACATTTGGTCTCACTCAGCACGTGAGTGGCCCCACCCACAGCAAAGGGCACACTCTAGACCTGCTGGTTACAAAGGGGGTTAATATTTTAAATGTAAATGTGGTTGACGTGGCTCTGTCAGATCACTTCTGTGTATTTTTTGACATGTGTTTTGATAGCAAACAACCATATATATCTGAATCTGCAATTGTCAGACACAGACACATAAATGAAAACACAACCGAACTATTCATGGGAATGATAAACTTTGAGAACACATTGTGTTCTACTGTTGACGAATTGTTTAACTCTGTCACCGCCAATGTTATAAATGTTCTGGACATCATCGCTCCTGTGAAGGTTAAAATGATTACAAATAAGCCAAAGGCCCCCTGGACTAAAATGGACTCAGTCATGGTACAGAAGAGAGAGTGCCGTAGGGCCGAGCGGAAGTGGCGAAAATCCAATCTCCAGGTTGATCATGATATCTTCAAAAATGAGTTGTGCAAGTTTAACAGGGTGCTACGTAGAACAAGAGAAATTTATTTTTCTAAAACCATTGATGGCTGCAATAATAATCTACGACTTATGTTTTCAACAGTTAACGGATTAACAAACCCCCCTGTTCAGCTGCCATTCGAATTTGCTTCAGAATCTAAATGTAATGAGTTTGCACAATTTTTCAATGACAAGGTTCAGAGCATCAAAAACGCCATCACCTCCAAGGCAGAAATAACATTACAACAGCCGGTGAGGCTGTTTGAGCTATCGCACTTTGCACCAACAGATAATGAAACTGTCCAAGATGTTGTCTCTAGCCTTAGTTCCTCCACATGTAGCCTGGATGTACTACCCACTAAATTTTTTAAGTCTGTTTTGAGCAGTCTTTTACCTTTGCTCACACAAATAGTGAACATGTCTTTCTCATCTGGAACATTTCCAATGGCCCTGAAAACGGCAGTCATCAGACCCCTCCTAAAAAAGAGGAGTCTAGATGCCACAGTTCTTAAGAATTATCGCCCCATTTCAAATCTGCCGTTTATGGGAAAAATTCTGGAAAAAGTTGCTTACCAACAACTTACAGAATTCTTAGTAACTAATAGTTCGTTTGATGCGCTCCAGTCCGGCTTTCGAGCCAATCACAGCACTGAGACTGCACTAGTGAAGGTTACAAATGACATCCGACTTAACACCGACACAGGAAAAGTCACAGTTTTAGTAATGTTGGATCTGAGTGCTGCGTTCGACACAGTCGACCACGAGATCCTCCTGCAGAGACTAGAGCACTGGGTGGGTGTCACTGGGACTGCCCTAAGTTGGTTTAGGTCTTACCTAGAAGACAGGAAATACTTGGTTCAGATAGGAAACTGTGTCTCAGATCATATGGCTCTGACCTGCGGAGTGCCACAGGGATCAATTCTGGGGCCTCTTCTGTTCAATATTTACATGCTGCCGTTAGGTCAGTTAATACGCTCCAACAATGTATCCTACCACAATTACGCTGATGACACTCAAATTTATGTCTCACTTACTGCAGGAGAACATGGACCAGTGGAATCACTCCTTCACTGTACTCAACAGATTAGTGATTGGATGCAAAATAACTTCCTTCAGCTAAACGCAGACAAAACAGAATTGATTGTCTTTGGTCCTCAGAAACAAAGAGAGAGCGTTATTCGTCACCTCCAGTCTCTCTCCCTGGAACCTGTAGGCAAGGTCAGAAACCTAGGAGTTATAATGGACTCAGACTTAAATTTTAACAGTCATATCAAATCAGTAACATCAGCAGCATTTTACCATCTGAAAAACATTGCCAAAATTAGAAACATAGTGTCTAAATCAGATCTGGAGATTCTCATCCATGCATTTGTCTCCAGTAGGTTAGACTACTGCAATGGCCTGCTCACAGGTCTCTCCAAACAGGCTGTAAAACAACTGCAGTATGTCCAAAATGCTGCAGCTCGAGTCCTGACCAGGACCAGGAAATATGACCACATTAGTCCAGTTCTCAGGTCTCTGCACTGGCTTCCTGTGGCTCAGAGAATAGACTTCAAAGCAGCACTGCTTGTGTACAAGTCTCTCCATGGCCTCGCACCAGGGTACTTAAGCGACTTGTTAGTCCCATATGAACCGACCCGGACTCTGAGGAGCACAGGAGGTAGCCTCTTACTGGTTCCAAGAGTCAGAACTAAACATGGGGAGGCAGCGTTTGAGATTTATGGAGCTAAAATCTGGAACAATCTTCCTGAAGATGTGAGGCTAGCATCTACTCTGGCAATTTTTAAATCGGGGCTAAAAACTGTTCTTTTTAGCTGTGCATACGGCTGAAGGATTCTATTGATACATACTCTTTTTTTTTTAATGCATTGTGGTTATTTATTATTTTAATCCCGTGTGTGCTTTTAATATATATTTTTTTTTTTTCCATTATTTGTGATTTTATTCTGTTTTTAATGTATTTATTGATGTCTCTGATTTGTGTGATACTATGTGGGTTGTGAGGCGCTTTGAGTGGCCTTGTGTTGGAAAGGCGCCATACAAATAAAGTTGATTGATTGATTGATTAATTCATTGCCATCATGTCAAAAGCATAGATCAAATGCCAAGTCAACAGAGTAAACACACAAGGCATGAAGCCATGCATTAAAATGATGCATTGCACTTCGGACCATGAATATGCTCCGGTTTGGACCAGTGTAAAACCATGAACACTGTACTGCAGCAACGTCTCAGGCAGAAAAAAGCAAGAAAAATAACAATTGTAGAGCACAAAAAAATAACTGTTTCAGAGCTACTTAGGACTGTCTGCTATTTCCAGCACATTCTGGAATATCTTACTTCATCTTAAAAGTAAACACATCTTTTAATTGATGAGCATTAAGAATGTGTGAGCATTAAAATTGTGTGTGTGCGTGTGTGTGTGTGTGTGCGCGAGATAGTTGGACAGGTGAACTATCCCAAAGTGCTGGATGAGGACAGCTGTGACGCCCTGTCCCCTGAGCGACCTGCAAGCCAGGAGTCCCCCGGGGACGGCCGAGTTCAGGAGACCCCAGCAGCACCACAGTTCCTGCCCGTTGTTGTCCAGGTCAGAGCAGCAGCATTACAGTCTGTCATCCAATGACATGCTCTATTATGGCAAACGATCACTAAAGTTTTGTTCTAAAGCTGAATCCAATCTTTTAGTTATTAAGAAAAGATATAAATACCTTGTTTGGTTACACTGTGGGGAAATTTCAGGCCCTGTTTAGACGGAGACGCTGCGGAGACCTAGTGCTAAGCGTCTACACGACAATGGGAAATGATGTAGTTCTAACTCCCGGCCAGTAGGGGGCAGTGGAACTAAACAACAAGACATACGCAACCCCCACCAGTATAGCCACTTCCTACACAACATCCTCCTCTGTCCACTGCAAAGACGTGAAAAAATGCACCAACTTCATTCTGCATTTAATAGTAGCTGCTAGAAAATGGAAACTGAAACTAGAGCTTTGCGTGGTTTCGTTTGGACGGACAAAGGAGCATGCCTGTCCCTGATCCACTCTGGAGGCCGTTGCTCAACGCGAGTTTTCACCTGAAACACCATCTCTGTGAGAACGAAAGGCCAATATGATACTGTTGATGCTGTTTTAGCTACAGTCCTGCCTGACAAAAACACATACACAAAAGACATCCTTCCGGCATTTTTAATCTTGCCTTTTCCAAGGAGAAGTATTATTTGAAACAAAGACAGGGCAGAGAGTGCTCTGCGTATAGCGTATGCAAAGCCTGCCTTCTCCTGGTGTTTAAAGGGCCCATATCACGGTTTTTGACTTTTCTCTGCTTTAAACATGATTACAATGCTATTTGGCCTTCATACACAAGCCCACAGTAGTTTATTCATTGATTCTGTCAATCTTTTGTTAGAGAGCAATCTGTCTCCTTCCCCAGCGTGAGGCACAGAAACGCTCGGGTCCACTTAAAGTGACGAAAACCACACTGATGACGCGCATGACCCCGTTTGCTTTGTATTTAAAATAGTTGTTAAATACTTTTGTCAAAACGGGGTAAACAATAATTGTGTATTGTTTACCACCTCACGGCGGGAGGTGATTGACGGATCAAAACAGCGAATCAGAGCGCACAGGCTCCGGCTCCCGAGTCCAGCGTCTGTGGTCTGGTCTCGCGGACACCACATAGAGCTGCTGTTTTTATGCTTTTGTCAGCAACTAAAAGTGTTAGGATCACGTCAACTTGAATGAAGTGTGCTATGGGTGTAAATATGTGACACACTATTTGGCCCTAAGAGGAAGAAAGCGGCTCGACTTTTTTCATCTGTTCATCTCATGGATCTGTTATAATACCGGTTCATCTGCGACACTTCACTGAGACTGTTCCAGAACTACAGGGACAATGGAACTGGACTTACTCAAAGGCTGATCTGGAAACACGTTATTCCCACGGTAAAAGACGTAACTCGGACCCCTCGATCTGTAAGTAGTGACGCTAACTCGCTGTATACTTCTTTAAACTAAATAACTAGGGTCTGATTGTGCATCGAGGACATAGGGCTCGATGTGACGGATTGTCATTGTTGGAAAAAGTTTATTCTTATGTATGAAATTACTAAGTACAGGTGATAAACGACAAAAGCGTGATGCTACGTCACCGTGCGGGCGGGGGGAGGCGGGCTCACAGGCAGAGGAGCAGACTCTTCTCTTGATCAGCTCGTTTGAGTCGAGGTGACGTCACCTCTATACAAGAGATGGCTCTAATCTCACAAGCTTTGATTGTTGTGTGGTGTATCATACACATTAATATCACACATGTGCATAGGACTGAGTGTGAAACATGAAGAAAAGCGTGATATAGGACCTTTAACATACGAGCCCCCCAGACTTCCTGAAGCCTTCCTGCCAAAGTGAATTACAATGCAACCTTTCTGTATACAATATATCTAGCCACATATAGGAATTGTTAAAATTATTATTTAAACAACATTTAAATTACAACACATTACAGTAGAATTTATAACAAGGACGAAATAAGAGCACTCAGAGTGCTCTCCAAGTTTTGCAGATTTACAGATGTTTCTATTGGACTTCAGCAGCGTGTGCATGTGTGTGTCATTTTCAGTTTAACAACACATTAAACTATGTTTGTGCGAAGACTACTAGAAGTGATGACGATATTCAAAAACGGATGCATGATTTTGATTTCCAGTAGAAAGGACTTTCAAATTTAAGAATAGTAAGGCGGCTTTGTGAAACTATTCACCATAAAATCATTATTTGGGATAACATTTGACAATTTTCTTCCTGGTTTGATTTTCCGACCTTAATAGCTGTTGTTATTATACACAGTCTGTTCCTGTGACCACTCCAACAACAACTGGCTTCGTCAAAGTGCTCTCCACCTCTGAACACTCTCCTTCAGCTCTCACTCAGCCTCAGCCAGCCACAATCAGCCCGCCCCCCAAACCAGGACCGACCCTCATCAAAGTAAGGGAAAAGCCTTCTCTCTGCACAGCCTAAAAGTTATAATCTGTGGCAATCATGGAGTATATCTTTTCAACATTTCAAATCTATGTAGCAGGGGTCGCCAACCTTTTAACTCTAAGGGCTACCTCAAGATGACCATGTGGCTTGAGGGATGCCATGTATAATGTTGAATATTAATGAATTGTGAATGCGCAGATGGGTCTAAAATGAGGAATTGTACATAACCCCAGAGTTCTATTTTCTTTTTACATGGATTAGGATATTAGACTACTTAAACTATTTGGTTTGAGTCTAATATTTGGAGAAGGGATCTTATTTTATGGTTAAACTTGAGCTTAGACTCGCAGAGGGACAGAGACAAAAGACTGGGTCAACAAGCTTCGGGACCAATTCTTTTTATCTTTCGTGGTCTGTGGGCGACTGGGCTCCCGGGCATAGGGCTGGTGACCCCTGCTATATAGTGAATGCTGGACAATAAAAAATTCTTTGAATGTTGAGTGAACATGGTTTTCAGACATTTATCCAAATAGTTCTTGGTCAACTCGGTCAAAGTCAGACACGTCATCAAATAATACAATTATTATTGTATTGTTTTACTGTTGCTCTGTAAAATGCCTGTGACGTGTGCTACAGACCTCTTGGCCAGGACTCCCTTGAAAAAGAGATCTCGATCTCAATGGGTATTTTCCTGGTTAAATAAAGGTTAAGGTCTACACAGCCTGAACTGAAAACATCCTCGCCTCATCAGAAATAGTCTGATGTGGAAAATTCATGTCTTAAAACATTTGTATCAAACCACACAAAACTGTTCAGTCTAGTCAGTCTCTTCCAGAGTCTTGTGACCGTTTCTCTCCTTGTTCGATCTGCCCCGTGTGTATGATAAAATCTTTGGAAATCTTGGTCAAATGTAACGCTGCTTTACACCTCTCCATAACTTTTTCACTGACCTCTTACGTCTTTGGTGTGCTCTTTAGCCTCCATGATGTTGTTTAGTGAACAGCTGTATTTATTCTGCGAGTAGATCCACACAAGAGGTCTTTGTTTAAAGGAGCTATACCTGTTTCTGCAAGGTTTGAATGTTTAGCACCGGTGCCCAACTCACTCAGACTTTTCATTTCCCCTACGCTCTCATTCCACTGAGCCATCTAGTTTTCTAGATCGCAAATAGATTTTGCGATCTATATGCAAACATTAGTAAGTAATCTTTATTTATATACCGCCTTTTCACTGCAGATCAGAGTCTCAAAGTGGTTTACAATTGTTATTTTTGGGCATTTGTCTCTCACTCCACACAGAGATGGGAGCGGGGTCGCCAGTACAGGAGGCGCATGCCAGACCTATTGTACATATTTTTAGTGGTAGGGGAAACCGGAGTACCCGGAGGAAACCTACGCAGAGCCATAGCATGAGTGCAACTCATTAAGCTGTACAAAAATCACGGATGAAATGGTACAAAAGCAACACACTGCAAACAAAATATACAACTGAAAGATACCGCCAGTTCCGCTTTCGAATGTAGTTCAAGCATAGATGGTCCGAGGCGGTCCCGCAGGTCTCTCACATAGACAAGTCTCCAGAGCCGGGGTGCTCACACTTTTTCAGCATGCGAGCTACTTATAAAATGATCAAGTCAAAATGATCTACCTACTACAAAAATGCAAAACGTATACAGTATTTAATTCTAATTATATTGAGGATTCTGTATATCTACAATGTATGTTGATGTACATGCAAAACCACATGATTTATGAAATAATTTGCATCCACACATAACCGAACATCTGTGTTTTCAATGACATTCATAACATTCCAAACATGTGCGTCCTCTTATGTCGTAAGTGGGCGGAGCTTTGATGCAGACGCCGGTACTTCTGTAGCGGCACTTTTACAGTCATAGAAGAAACTCAGGGTGAAGACATATATTATAGATCCATGGTGAATACATATGTTTACAAGCACTGACCCCGTCCTCAGCCCTGGTTTAGTGCTGGTTTAGCTCCTGTTTTGGTTGTTTTCGAGCGTGCCTGATCACTTTGCTGCTGTCTGATGTGCAGGATGTTTGCTGCTGTGAACCGCTGCAGCAGTGAACAGTTTTTAAGGCAGTAAGATCCATGCTTCAGTGATCAGAGGTCGCACGTTTTGTTTGTTGTTCTTTTGGGGGCATACTGTGGCGTGCGAAAACGCAGAACTCTGGTTATAGCTGTCTACACGCAAATGCATAAACTGATTTTTTTTTTTTAAGTAATGCGATCTAGTACCAATACTACTCGACGTATTGAGCACCCCTGCTCCAGAGGATACGATGTAAGCTAGCTATGTTCACCTGGGCTTGACTTCTTCTTTGATAATTTTTTCGCTTTAGTTCCCGCTTCTTCTCGTCACTGTTGTGTCGTTTGGGCTCTTTTGCTGTTTATGCAGTGACAGCAAAAGGAGTTATAGCCAATTCTGCTAACATGCTACTGTGTTTAGCAACGCTGTAGAGGCTAGAGGACGCAGCCTCGTTTTGTGAGTGAAGCAGAGCGAGCGTCATGCTAAGTCTCTACTCAGCACTTTTATACGGCCTGAATTCCTACACAATCTAAATCAATTAGCTCAAGTTTTCAATTAATTAGAATTAAATACTAATTATAATTATATTATATAATTATAATACAACTTTTATATGGATGGATGGATGGATAAACTCATTAGAAAAGAAATCGGGTATAGCATTTTTAATCATTAGGGCAAGGTGTGAACATTCAGTCATTAGAACTGTTTTAAAAACATTTTACAGCTCACAAAAAAAGCTGTATGAAGACTTGTGAACACAACTTCTATCTCTCACACAAGGGCTCAACCCGTTAAGGCCTGACACACCTGGTAAAACAGTTTTCCTGAAATTCAACGTCTACTAAATGATTGATAATTCAGCCAGAAACACAATTCCAAAAGAATTTGAGGGATTGCACATGTGGCTTTATATATTTAATAAGAATGGAGTGTATCATTATAAACCTTCAGTCATCACATTTCACATTTCATAATCTGATAAAAGATCATATTCATTATTAGTCAAAGAATACTTCAACAAACTATTGAAGTCAAATGATTGTATTAATGTGACTACTCCACACGGCCTTTTCCAGCAAAGCCAACAGAAATCTGGTGCAGACAAAAGCCGCAGCAAGAAAAGCAAAGAGGCAAAGTCACGCATGAAGAAGCTTAAGTACCATCAGTACGTGCCCCCAGACCAGAAGCAGGACTCCACGGAGGCTCACATGGACTCCTCCTATGCACGGCTCCTGCAGCAACAGCAGCTCTTCCTTCAGCTGCAGATCCTGAGCCAGCAGCAGCAGCACTACAACTACCAGACCATCCTGCCTGCGCCACTCAAGTACGGCCCCACTCAGCAAAACTGCTCATAACATGCATCCTGCATAGGGCTGGGTGATATGGAGAAAATAATTTATCAAAATCTTTCGATATTTTAAAGGAGCAGTATGCTAAAATCTGGCCAAAAGTGGTACTGCAGTCGCAGTCAATATTTTGTAGTGTCCTCCCACTCTCCCTGACTCAGGTTGCCAGATGCACACCAAATCCAGCAGCAAACACAAGGAATTATTTTATCAGTTGTTTGTCTGTCTCCATTCACATTGCCATGAGGCATGCTAATGTTGATTTGAATGTTTTGAATTAATGTTTTTTTTATTTTTTTATTTGGACATTTGAGATGAGAAAAACCAAATAAAAGCAATTTAATTATGCACAGATTATGCAAATAAATAAGCAATTGATGTCCAAAATAGGAGGCAAGAATGGGTGTTGGAACATATTTCTTCAGCGTATCAACATCAGGGTTTCCTCCAGAGGATATACCCTTCAATTGTATTAATTCCCTACATACTTCTTCTTCTTTTTATAAATAAGATATAATCTGCAAAAGACATCTTGATTGTTGTCTTTTACCTGATTTTGAGCAATCTGTCGTAAAATGTAATATTATGTCATTAAACACAAGTAGACACTACTCTGACTCGAACCCAGATCGCTGCAATGTCAGCTCTGTGCCTTAACCATTAGGCCACCATTAGACACGATATATAGTGCGGAGGGAAACCGGGTCAATCCAGCAAGTTTTGCATCACACAAAAACTTTCATCCGCTGTCTCAATTTTTCAAAGGCGTCCTGATATAAATCCTTGTTTTAGTCTTTGTTATGTCATTAATGATTTGAGAGTCATAATAAGACCTTTTTTAGTTCTGCAGCCACGTTATTTTACCAGTGAGATTATCTCATGGATCTATTATAATAACTGGATAGGGTATTGCTAATTTATAGCTGAAGAACTCGTGTGCTCGGGGGATTCTCGCGGTACTGCAGACTAAACAAGACTAAATTCACGTGGGCTACCCAGACATTTTTCCCATAGAACTCAATGTAAATTAAAACCGCTTGACCTCAGCTGACAAACCTACAGCTTTCATAAAGGTCGGATTTTGTGGGGATTTTAGTGTCCCTTGTCATCCTGAACTTTTTTTCTTCTTAAGTCCTTCGGTTTTGTTTAAATCCACACTTTAGTGCCACACTTTAGTGCTCTAACTCCCGCTCTGATAAACTGCTCTGATTGGTCAGAGCGCGGCCGAGCCCCTCTGTGCACATGCGTGAGACCCGGTGTGAGACCCACACACGCGTGTTTGGCACAATGCATTATGGGAGATCATCCACTGCACAGAACCGGGAGGACCAGACGATGCCCAAATACAGGCGAGTTTCCCATGGATCTTTGCGAGTTCCAGGCGAGTTCCGCTAATTTTTCAGCCCCCACTGTGCCACTGAGCACAAACCATTCATTTGAATACGGCGCCATCTTGGATCGCCGGGGCTTGGATTAGCAACACTGGCAACACGGATCACTGACTTCCTGATTGGCGAAACAGCAGCGGGTGGGACGTCAAAATATAAACAATAACAACTTTTACGGGTCGTAAAACTAATTTGGCTGAACTACTGTCATCAGTTAAAGATGTACTCAAAAAGAGCATGATTTAATATTGCCTTTTGAAATCTTGGGGCCATTTAATGATGACTTGACATGCAAATATTACATATTGCTACTTTAACCCTATGAACCCGTCTGCATCGGCGACGATGCATGCGCACATGTTTTACAAATGATCAATTTACTCGCGAACGGTAAAACAACTTACTCTGTGAAGTTCACATGTATCTGTGCGATGCACAGGGGATAAACTACGTTTGACTGAAAGTCCGTGTCCAATCGGATCTTCGAGCGGTGACCCGTGAGATACAAACACACAGGGACTGCCAAAGATTGTCAGAGTGAGATGTCTCACTCCTCTGCGTGCACTTGTTCTCCCACAGTTGAAACTACAGCTGCGATTGCAATAACCGGCTGAAGAGTGCGCATTATTGATAAAGACTATAATAAAGACAGTAAAATGACATTATGTGTATATGATGTATATAAATATATGTATTGGATGTTTTTTTTTTTTTTTTACGTTTTTTACAGCTGTGATACAGAAGCAACCCCAGCATCATAGACAAACTGCTTCAGGAAGGGCATCAGGAGTACAGTGGAATTTTGTAAAAAGTATAATAGTCACAGATTCAATTTTTTTCCCCATTATCCCCATGACCCCAAATAACATTTCTATACAGTGTAAAAAAAAATGTTTATTTGATTTTCCATTTGATTTTTTTTCTTTGTCTTCATGACTCCATAAGTTTTATATAATTCATATGACAGCTTTACAATATGAATATTCTAAAACCCCAGGTTGATGCAGTATACTTTGTAAAAACAAAAAAAAGGTCTTGTTATGACCCTCAAATCATTAATGACAAAACAAAGACTGAAACGAGGATTTATATCAGGACGCCTTTGAACAATTGAGACGGCTAATAAAAGCTTTTGTGTGATGCAAAATTTAGAGCTTTGGGTCCTTTCTTCAGATCTGTCCTCACCCTGTGAATCGGTGGTCTAGTGGTTTAACCTTCGCGCTCACGATGCAGTAACCTGGGATTGTATTTATTTGCATGTTATCACATTCTATGACAGATTGCTCTAAAATCGGTAAAAGACGAAGGTCAAGTTGTTTTTTGCAAATTATAGCTTAATTGTAAAAAGAATCATTTAAGACCACATGTACCCCAATAAAAATAATTTTAGACTCTTTTTGATGTGGGACTTGTACATGTTTGTCTAAAAAATAGGGAATAAAAAAAATGTAAAGGGTATATCCTTTGGAGCAAACCCTGATGTTGATACGCTGAAGAAATACGTTCCAACATCCATTCTTCCCACTCCTATTTTGGACATCAATTGCTTATTTATTTTGGATAATCTATAATTACATTGCTTTTTTATCACAAATGTCCAAATAACAAAAATTAAATAAACATTCATTCAACATTAGCACAGCTCATGGCAATGTGAAATGGAGACAGACAAACAACTGATAAAATAATTCCCTGTGTTTGCTGCTGGATTTGGTGAGTATCTGGCAACCTGAGTCAGGGAGAGTGGGAGAGGACTACAAAATATTGACTGTGACTGCAGTACCACTTTTGGCCAGATTTTTACATATTGTTCCTTTTAACATTAAAAAACCCTTATTACATTAAAAGCAAGTCCCTTGTTCCATATCGCAAGAGTTTTTGTATCGCAAAGTAATGTGTCAACTCAGTTATGTTTTCAGCTGCGTATAAAGTCAAGATGTTCAATGACGACAAAAGGTATCATGTTCACCACTGTATGAAATGGGGCTGGGCGATATAAAGATATATATTGCGATAGACATGCGTTTGATATCAATAGAAAACAAGGTTGATAGAATGTTCGATAGTTTAACTTCACTCCGTTAGAAAAAACAGGAAGAAAACACAGGAAGTAAAGCCGAGTCAGCATTCTGGGGGTGTGCAGGCAGAGGCTTCTCTGCCTGCACACCCCCAGGTCCAGTTCAGGACATGAACTTTTTCCGGAGCCGTCCCAGGAACACAAGACACTCAAACAGTAGCTAAACCAGGACCAAACCAGGACCAAACCAGCACCAAACCAGGACCAAACCAGGACCAAACCAGGACCAAACCAGGACCAAACCAGGACCAAACCAGGACTAACAATGGGGGACACTGTGCTTGTGAACATATGCCTCCAACCTCATTCCCCCGTGACTGTAAACAAGGCTGCTAACGTGTGTTAGCCGACACGACAAATGTATTTATTTAGGTTTAAAAACAAAACAAAACAAAAATCAATATATATTGTTATCGACCAATATGAATTACTTATATTTTGATATAGTTTTCAGCCATATCGCCCAGCCCTAGTATTAAATAAAACTCCTTGTTTCCTACAAGTCATGTCCCACCACAGCTCTCACAGTATCCTCCCGCAGGCCCGTGACGGAGGGTCATGGCGGCACAAATGGCCTGCCCACTTCCATTGTGGTGTCCCTACCCACTGCCCCCCCTGCTTCTCCGCTGCCCGGCAACAGGCCGCTCAACACACTGAGCAGCCGCCGGCCTGGAGTGCTGCCCACCAATCTGGAGGAGATGAAGGTACACACTAGTGTTATAATATGGCCATGGGAATGTGAATTCCTCACAGTTGGCTGTAAACTGTATAGTGCACTGACCCATATTGTCCTCTTCCCTCTCTCCTCCTGTGTGCAGGTGGCTGAGCTGAAGCTGGAGCTGAAGCTGCGTGGCCTGCCGGTCTCTGGCACAAAGACTGACCTCATGGAGCGCCTCAAACCCTTCCAAGACCCTATCTCCTCTGTGCCCATGGAAGTTGCCTCTACCACCCCAGCAATAGTCCTGCCCTACACACAGAGGGCCCTGCGTACCCCTACCCCGCCAGTTTCCCCGCAGTCACAAGATGGGGGCCTGTGTGAGCAAGTCCCCCCCGAAAAGGACCGGCAGCTACATGAGAAGCAGCGACAGATCGAGGAGCTGATGAAAAAGCTGGAGCAAGAACAGAGGCTGGTGGAGGAGCTCAAGTTGCAGCTGGAGGTGGAGAAGACTGTGACGAGCTCTGAAATCAAACCAGAAGTCGACATGTTCTCCAACTGCAACACAATCCTAAACACCATCCAAAAAGTATACGCTGCTCCCAGCGCTGGTAAATATGAAGACAGCCTGTCCAATTGCTTATCCAGCACCAGCTCCTTATTAGGCTCCGTTCCTGCTCCCACTGTGGTCAAACTAGAAGACGTGACTGTGTCGTCCTCCAAACCCCTCCAAATGCAGAGCCCCACACAGCTGCTGAAGCAGACGCCCCCCCACAAGGCTGCACGCACGAGCCCAACGCCTCCCCAGCCGCCTTTGCACAAGGGCCCCGGGCTGCAGCAGTTCTTCATCAGTCATGCAGGAGGGGTGTCTCAGGTGCTGGGGCAGCCGCAGATCCTCGTGCCTGTGTCTTTGCCCAACAACACCATTCAACTGCCACACTCTATGGTCAGTCTGCAGGTATTAACACAACTCTATTAGATTTTAATGTAGAATGCACTTTTTGGGGATCAACCAGACTGCTCCATTGTTCCAACATCAGTTCTGTGGTTTGGATTAGATGCCAGTAAATACTATTAGGGTGCTTTAGATAATTGCAAGTCCTGGCCATTCGCTCAGTCCCAGCACTGCTCTCAGTGTCTCATGAATTTAACAGGAAACCCATTTTTTAAGCTTCATTCTGATTTGAAAGTAGGAAACGTAGATAGAAACTTTATTGATCCCCGTAGGAGAAATTCAGGTTTCCAGCAGCAGAACACACATCCTAATATTTATCCTAATTATAAACATTATTTAACTAACTACCTACCTAACAATATTGCATATTTTTAACTCATACAGGTCTGTTGTACAGTCTGACAGCCGGAGGAACAAAGGAAAAAGTTTCCGTTCGGCAGTGATATAACCCTGTTGGTACGATTACTCCTTTGAGCGGCCATAGTGTCATGCAGAGGCTGTCATGCAGAGGCTGTCATGCAGAGGCTGTCATGCAGAGGCTGTCATGCAGAGGCTGTCATGCAGAGGCTGTCATGCAGAGGCTGTCATGCAGAGGCTGTCATGCAGAGGCTGTCATGCAGAGGCTGTCATGCAGAGGCTGTCATGCAGAGGCTGTCATGCAGAGGCTGTCATGCAGAGGCTGTCATGCAGAGGCTGTCATGCAGAGGCTGTCATGCAGAGGCTGTCATGCAGAGGCTGTCATGCAGAGGCTGTCATGCAGAGGCTGTCATGCAGAGGCTGTCATGCAGAGGCTGTCATGCAGAGGCTGTCTGAAGTTACCCATCCTGGGTAATGCCCTGCATTAGAGCATTAGAGCCTTTATCCTTCTCTCCAGCACAGCTCCCACAGAGTCCAGACTTCTCCCCATCACAGAGACACATTTCCTGATCAGCCTGTCGAGCCGTATGTGTACATGCACATATTTTACCAATCTGTGGTAGGTGGTGCCAACATCTGACTGCTCAAAATAAAGGACCTCGGTCTTCTCAGGAAGAAGAGTCTGCTCTGACCTTCTGTCAAACTTCCCTCTATTTGACTAGGGATTACAGGAGAACGAAACTAGCTAGAAACAAACTTATTTTTTCTGATGAAAGTATACAGTCCAGTCTTTAAGAATCCTATTCTGTGGGTCTCGAAAATCAGTGAAATAATCAAAAACGGCTGGCAGTCAATGAGTTAACTATGAGCAAAGCCTTAAGCTCACAGATGTAAAAGTTTGTCTTTAAACACAATTTAGGTCAGAGATGAGGAGGATAAAAACCAGGAAGGCACCATGACCAGACAACATCAGCTCCAAGCTCCTTCACTCCTGTGCAGGTGAACTCTGTTGAGTGATAGAGCACATCTTCAACCTGAGCCTTAAGCCGCGTTCAGACCGGATCATGCGTTGTGGTGACTTTCAATGCAAAGTCAATGGTGACGGGCATTCGAGTGTGGAACTGCATGTGCGTCTCGGAATGCACACACGGACTGCGCGGCAGAGACACACGGACTGCGCGGCAGAGGAGCAGGAGCAGGAAATTGATGCAGGAGATAAACATTGCTGAACTTTTCCTCGGGATGCTTGTGCAGCGACCAAACAGAGCCGCAAAGTGGTCATGGGGACATTAGCGGTCTGAGTGAGCAGACTGAAAATACTCGTAAACAGCCAAAACAGGACTACACCAGGACTAAACCAGGGTTGACAATGGGGGACAGTGCTTGTGAACATATGCGTTCTCATGTGCCCGTGACTGTATACAACTGCTTCGAGCGTGTTCGCCGATGCGGAAGTACTGTTTAATACTAAAATAAACTTATTGCGCACCTCCATGAACACATATTGCTGTTATATAAAGTCTCTGAAAGGTCTCTGGACACAAACGCTCCAGAGCTGCATTGTTGGAGAAGAACTTTACACAAAAAGGCGCTAGCTTAACTCCGTTAGCATCAAAGTCCGCCCGCTACTTCCGCCACTTCCGGCGGGCGCCACTGCAGGCCAGGACTTCTGGTCTGAACACCGCTGCGTCTGAAAATTTGATAATGTGCGTCTGGCGGTCTGCACGCGCCATCAGGCTGAGGGCGGTACCACAGCTTTGGAAAACCTCCTGTGTGGACCAGGTGCCCAAGGCACCACGGGCCAAAGACCTCAGCGACTTCAGGCCGGTGGCTTTGACATCCCCACTGCATGAAGACACTGGAGAGACTGCTCCTGGGACATCACCTCTTCACTCTGAGCCCAGCGATGGACCCGCTGCAGTTCGCCTACAGGCCGGGCATCGGAGTCGAGGACGCCATCATCTCCCTCCTCCATCGCTCCCTGTCCCACCTGGAGAAACCCGGCTCCACTGTGAGGATCCTCTTCTTTGATTTCTCCAGTGCCTTCAACACCATCTAGCCGAGGCTTCTCAGGGACAAGCTGGAGACGGCTGGAGTGGACTACGACCTGTCCCAGTGGATCCTGGACTACCTCACAGACAGACCCCAGTTTGTGAAAACTGCCACAGAAGTCGCCTGTCTCACATTCTCAGGGAAACTGTTCAAAATTCTAGCCGCACAAATCTGAAATGCAGCCTCCCCATGTTTAGTTCTGACTCTGGGCACCAGCAGGAGGCCCGTTCCTCAGAGTCCGGGCCGATTCATATGGGACTAATGCTGCGGTCAGACCGGATCATGCGTTGCGTCGGCTTTTTTGCGTGACGCGAGTTCGAGCGTCAAAATGCACGAGCGTCTCGGAATGTACACACGGACTGCTCAGTAGAGACGCACAAACTGTGCGGGAAAGTTGAGGGGGAGGTGCAGGAGCGACGCACGCAGGAGATAAACATTGCTCAGCCTTTCCTCGGGACGCTCGTGCAGCAACCTATCAGAGAGCCGCAAAGTGGTCACGGGATCATTAGCGGTCTGAGTGAGCAAACTGAACATACTCGTAAACAGCCAAAACGAAGCTACATCAGAACTAAACCAGCGTTTAGGCCTGTCGCGATAGTCAATAAATCAATTAATCGCACGATAAATAAAATTTGCTCAATAACTTTTCTGGCCGCGATAAATCTCATTTTCATGCTTGTTTGTTTCCCCGTCTCTCTCGGGTCAGAGAGCCGCAAAGTGGTCACGGGAACATTAGCGGTCTAGCAAGCAGACGGAAATTACTCAAAAATACAAAATACAGCCAAAACAGGACCTAAACCAGGACTTAACCAGGATTGACAATGGGGGACACAGTAGTTGTGAACATATGCCGGCAGCTGAGTTCTCATTCAGGCTTGATTAGTGACTATACTAGCGCAGCTAGCGTTAGCGTGTTCGCCGATGCAGAAGTACCGTACCATACCAATAAAATAAACTTATGGCGCACCTCCGTGAACACATACTGCTGTTATATAAAGTCTCTAGAAGGTCTCTGAACACAGAGATGCTGCAGACTTGCATTCTTGGAGTAGAACTTTACACAAAAAACCCGCTAGCTTAGCTGTTAGCATCAAAGCCCGCCCCGCTACTTCCGGTGGGCGCTACCGCAGCAGGACTTCTGTACGCCCCATTGGTAAACCCACATGTCAGTCACTTGTCATTTGCCTGGTGTGTGGGGAGGTGGGACTACTCCTGAGAGATCCTGTCTTAAACCACACAAAGTCAACATGTTGGTATTTCTTTCTCGTAATCTGCCATAAAGTCTGAGAAATTATTGACATTTGAGGCATCTGTTTCATATTTTCTTTACAAAGGTCCTGGCAGTTTTATTCCTGGTCATTTTTTGTTAAGAGACTGAGTATTTTATTTATTGTTTTTGGTTGTTTGTAAATTTATTGTGTTCTAGCGTTAAATATTCGTTAAAAATAAAAGTTTATTTCTCTTTGAAAAGGTGTACCTGCATGATCATTGTAATCGATGCAAATGATCTCAGAACGACAATATAATCGCTTATCGCAATAATTTCTGAGACAATTAATCGTCCAGCAAAATTTGTTATCGTGACAGGCCTACCAGCGTTGACAATGGGGGACATAGTGCTTGTGAACATATGCTGAACTGCTTCGAGTGTGTTCGCCAATGCGGAAGTACCGTTTAATAATAAAATAAACTTATTCCGCACCTCCGTGAACACATACTGCTGTTATATAAGTCTGTGGAAGGTCTCTGAACACAGGCACGCTGCAAAGCTGCATTATTGGAGATGGATTTTACATAAGAAGCCGCTAGATTAACTCTGTTAGCATCAAAGTCCGCCTGCTACTTCTGGCGCTCGCCAGGACTTCTGGTCTGAGGACCCCTGCGTCTGAAAACTAGAGAATGTGCGTCTGGTGAGCAAGGCTTCAGCGTTGGCGGTCTGAAAACAGCATAACATGTCACTTATGTACCTTGGTGCGAGGCCATGGAGAGACTTGTACACAAGCAGCGCTACTTTAAAGTCTTTAAAGTTCTGAGCAACAGGAAGCCAATGCAGAAACCTGAGATCAAAGAGATACAGGAAGAAGCTGGACAAGGTCATCAGGAAGTCCAGCTCAGTCCTGGGCTGTTCCCTGGACACAGTGCAGCAGGTGGGGGACAGGAGGGTCCTGAGAAAACTAACATCTATGCTGGACCATGACTGTCGCCCCCCTGCAGGACACTCTCTCTGCTCTGGAGAGCAGCTTCAGTGACAGACTAATTCACCCTCACTGTGTGAAGTAGAGGTTCCGTAGGTCTTTCCTTCCTGCTGCTGTCAGACTGTACAATAAGAACTGCTGAGCCTGTACATTTCATTCATTTGTAAATACTTAAATCTTGTGCAATACTGCAACCTCAGAATGTCACAGAACAACGTCACTTTGCTATCCTGCCCTATATGTACAGTATATAACTCCGCACTACTACATATATATATATATATTTTGGCTGGTATTGAGGCATTTACGGCATCTACAGCTAGTTAAGACACATATTACACGAAATATATTTTGTGTGCTCCCTGTGTGCTCTTACTACTGTCCTGTCTGTGCGCTGCAACAACAAAATATCCCCACTGGCATAATTTCACAAAATGAGAATATAGACAAATTGAAGGCAGGCTGCTTTAAGAAAATATTACTCCATACGCCTTATTTTCATAATCAAATGGGCCCTGTACTGTTGACACAGTACCAAGGTTGTTTGAACCAATGGTTCCCAAAGTGGGGGTCCGGCGGGGCTCTCAAGATAATCTTTAAAATGAAACGGTGGTTAATATCCACAAGAAAAAAACCAGGAGGGGGAGAAAAGTCACATGTGCCAGTGAGGGAAGCTAATGATTCGAAGAATACAGTGGGGGGAGCATCCGAGAGGGCAGCGGAGAACATCGAGGGTGAGCCGCAAGAAATGCTCCTTCACTCTGCTAAGGGGGGAGCCCTCCACTTCCGCACACGCATAAGTATTTAAATTGGTAAAAGATGACTAATATGACCCTGTATTGGTGCCAGTCTCTATAGTAGCATTTTTGTCATTGCTAAAAATCCATAATAATTCTCCAAACATGTTTTGTCCCATCTCAATTTCAAACAAAATATAAATTGCTCCTTCCAACTTCCAATGTTTTCATTGGGCAGCCTGTGCAGCTAGAGGGGGGGTTTTGGTCCGGGCCTTTCCAAGGACCTCTCTCAACAGGACTTCCCCGCACACCTCCCCCAGGTACTACAGCTCCAACGGGCCCCTCAACAATGTCTCTTAAGTATTTGGTCTTAGTTTCCAAAGTCTTTTTTTATTTTTATTGCCTGTTCTTAATGTCCCATAACTATTTAACTTTGCTCTGTGCTTTCACATTATATTGTCCCACACGTTCATGTCAGTTCCTGTTTGTCATAATGGGTCAGAAGTCTCTCTGTCCTCAATACTGCAGTCTTCTTCTGGACAGTCCACATTCATCTTGCAGCCCGCCCCCCTGCTCCCTCAGCCCAAGAACGAGCCGCCACGCTACGAGGACGCCGTCAAACAGAGCCGCTGCCTGCTGTCCAACACCCCCTCCCAGGTCAGAACTAGGGTCTGCTGCGTTATGGCCATGGAGAGACTAGTACACAAGCCTTGTAAGCAGAGCTGCTTTTATTTCTATTCTCTGACGTTTGTAGACAGATGTAAAAACAATGGCTCAGAGTAAAAGAAGCACATAGGTCTTTCTTCTTGTTCTGCAACCTGTTATGCGAGCAGAGAGAAAACCGAAGGACTATGGGTCCATTCTATCACCCAGCTCTGTAGAGAACAAGGTGACTCCTCCCCCCTTGTAGCCAAACAGCTGAAACTCTGCAATTTTACTTAACTCTTGTGCTATTCTTGTGCCACAGTGATTAAAAAATACCCTAACTAATCATTTTCACGCTCAATAATAATGACTTTTCCTATCTTTGCCAGCCCTGGGTCATTTAGACCCTAATTTAAGTATTTTTCTTCAACTTTTAATCACTGTAGGGCATAAAATTTAACCTTTAAAATCTCAATCACACATGATTCCTTCTTTGTTAAATGCATTCCTGACCAGAATTAACTTTCCGCCCGTGTTTTAAATGAGATGCGATGCGTTATTTATGTTGCTTTTTGCAAGGCTAGGTACTTAATTTTGAAACGCCGCTACCTTGTTAAAGTGATAGTCTGTAACTCTAAATGAATTACAAATTTTAGGAAATGTGTTAAATTGACCTCCGGGCCTTAAATGTTGATATAATATAAGTCATTTTATTAATTCTAATATTACAGTTAAGTCCCGCCTTCCCTTCTCTTAGCTATAGCTCAGAATCCACGATGCCGTTCAAGTTAACCAATCGAGTCAATCATCGCGCTGATGCTCTTAGCTGCGTGCATGCTCAGTTGTTTGTTTTTACGGAGCCTCCAAATCAAGCCTCTCTTAGACTCTGGAACTACATGAAAACTGAACAAAGAATTCTGAACATCCGCACTGAGTTACCCATTTATATATGAACCTATATACATAATCATTTATATATGAACCTATATCCATAATCATTTATATATGAACCTATATCCATAATCATTTATATACTGAATCTATATCCATAATCATGTATATATGAACCTATATCCATAATCATTTATATATGAACCTATATCCATAATAATTTATATATGAACCTATATCCATAATCATTTATATACTGAGCCTATATCCATAATCATTTATATACTGAGCCTATATCCATAATCATTTATATACTGAGCCTATATCCATCCATCCATCCATTTTCTTCCCCTTAATCCATTTCTGGGTTGGGGGGGTGGCAGTCAGAGCTGCACCCAGTACACTTAGCACCAGCCCCTCACTGATCCTCCTGCAGGTGGTGAGTCCACAGGAGCTGAGATCTTTCAGTGGGAGCTTCAGGCAAAGTGGGGTTAAGTGTCTTGCCCAAGGACACAACGACAGCAGTCATCAGTGGGAGTCGTGAAGTAGGTCTTATGGTGGGCTTGAACCCACAACCTTCAGGCCCAAAGGCCAATGCTCTACCAACTGAGCTACTGTCGCCCTATTAGCCTATATCCATAATCATTTATATATGAATCTATATCCATAATCATTTATATATGAACCTATATCCATAATCATTTATATACTGAGCCTATATCCATAATCATTTATATACTGAACCTATATCCATAATCATTTATATACTGAACCTATATCATAATCATTTATATATGAACCTATATCCATAATCATTTATATATGAACCTATATCCATAATCATTTATATACTGAACCTATATCCATAATCATTTATATATGAACCTATATCCATAATCATTTATATACTGAACCTATATCCATAATCATTTATATATGAACCTATATCCATAATCATTTATATATGAGCCTATATCCATAATCATTTATATATGAGCCTATATCCATAATCATTTATATATGAGCCTATATCCATAATCATTTATATACTGAACCTATATCCATAATCATTTATATACTGAACCTATATCCATAATCATTTATATATGAACCTATATCCATAATCATTTATATATGAGCCTATATCCATAATCATTTATATATGAGCCTATATCCATAATCATTTATATATGAGCCTATATCCATAATCATTTATATATGAACCTATATCCATAATCATTTATATATGAGCCTATATCCATAATCATTTATATATGAACCTATATCCATAATCATTTATATATGAGCCTATATCCATAATCATTTATATATGAACCTATATCCATAATCATTTATATGTGTGACCTGTAATGTGCAATTCATATTAATAGCTTCTTCCAGGTTTGCCACGATCATTTTTTTGTGCATTAAAACATTTTCTTTTTTTCATGAAAACGTTAACAAACACATTGTTGTGGAGATGTGTGAATAAGAAAGCAACAAGATGAAATGCACTTTTGTATTGGTTGAATAGAACAGTTAATAATGATAGTAAAAATGTACAATAATGATACATATATTATGACAGGATTGAAGGAACACATCTAAAATGACAATATTTATCATAAGGAATGTCTGAACAAATCGGATGGATTGGTGACTGGTGCTGATCAGTGATGGGTTGGGATTTTATTCCACTGGAGGATTCCTAGGCTCTTATTTTGTGTATCGAGTATGTACTCAAATTATATGTAGATGTAACTGAATTATCTTTACGGAAAAAAGAGGTTAGGGGTTAATGAGCATCTTGCTTCTGCCTACTCTTTTTGAGCGTCAATTGTGTTATTTACTTTACTTCCTTTGTTCTTTCTAACATTTGCTGAACCTTGTGTCCTTAGTTCAAAACATGCTAGACAATAAAATAAAAGGATAGCGGCGCGTAACAGAATTACTCATGTTCTATGCGTGTCTTTCACCGCTGGTGTAAATTGGCAGGTCTATTACAATGAAAATATCATCTTGGACATAACATGCTTGTTAACCTATGGCCTGAAGAGGGGAGGTTTGTGGGAGGTTTGCGCAACGCTTACAATCGCCTCATAAGCAACCCCAATTTTCACTGATATCTCCTTTTCAGGTGTCTACAACAACAAGCCAGCAAATGGATGATTTGTTCGACATCCTCATTGAGAGTGGAGGTAATGTGCTGCACAGTGAAACCTTTACTTGTAGAGATCATAGATAGATATATACTTTATGAATCCCCTGTAGGAGAAATCCTGGTGTCCAGTAGCAGCAGAAACACATCCATCCATACAAACAAATCAATAGTAAAAGTAGCTGGCAACAGTATTAAAATGCAACAACACTTTAGGTCACAGCAGCAGAGGTGGTCCAGAGTAAAAGGCTGAATGCTTTGTTAGCATTTTTTTTTTTATCCTTCTGTGGATCTCTGCTTGATCTGCTTGGTTTGGTCTATGAATCATCTCTGCTCTGGTCTGGATCAGTCTTAATGTAGAAAGAACAGGTATCTCATACCACAAAATATGAATCAATGAGGTGCAGATGCAAGAATCTAAATTTCAGGAAACGGGCTAGCATTCCACACTCGGCTCATATTTATTCATGATGTTTTGGCTTTATTCCTTCATCCGATCATGTTTTTCTTTTTTACAGCAACATTTTTGTGGTCACAAGAAAAAGAAAAACCGAATCTGAGCTTAGTGTGCAATGCTACCCCATTTCCTGAAATCTGAATCTGTGTTTAACCATTAACACTGTACTGCAGTAAAAAACAGGTAGAAAAAAAGCAATACAAAATGACCATTGTAAAGCACAAAAACAACTGTGCCTTGCAAAAGTATTAATATGACTTGAACTTATGCAATCTTTTGTATGTTTACAACCATAAATTTGAAGAGTTTATTCAGTTATTTGTTGTTAGTCGCAGTAAAAAAAGAAAAAAATCAGACAACTGGAGTGAAAGCAAACTGAGACGTGATTCTGTCATTCAAAAAATAGAAAAACAAAAGTTGGACATGCCTAAATGTTCATACAGCACGAGTTAATAATTTATGGAACCCCTTTTGCTGCAACAACAGCAGCGAGTCTTTTGGTGTATGATCTGCACATCTAGAGACTGAAAGAGTAGCTCATTCCTCTTTACAAAACAATATGATCTCTTTCAGATTAGATGGAGAGCGCTTGTACAAAGCAATTTTCAAATCTTTCCACAGATTTTTCTTTGGCTTTAGGTCCGGACTTTGACTGGGCCATTTTCACACATGAATATGAATTTGTGCTTTATGTTTAGGATCATTTTCCTGCTGGAAGGTGAATCTTTGCCTCAGCCTCTATTATCCTGCGGACTCTAGTAGGTTCAGAAAATAATAAAGCTTAATTTAGTTTTGACCCGAAAAACTTTGTATGATATCAATTTATATTTATTAAATACAATTTTTAATGTCACAATCTGAAAATGAGGATTATTTTGACAGTTTTGGTCCTGCATACTTGTGTGAACTTTCTATAAGTCCCTATAGTTGTAAACCTGTCAAAATATGCAACAGTTCAGCGGTATAAATACTTTGGCAAGGCACTGTATGTCACTAACATGTCACTGAGAACTGATTCACATGCATGTGTTCCACAGAAATGGCTCCTTTCCCTCAGCAGGAGGCCCCAGTCTGTGTGAACAAGACTCAGCCCGTCACGGCTCACATCAGCACTCTGCCGGTGAACACAGTCCTGTGTAGGCCTCCCCTTCAGGTGCAGCTGGCCCCTTCCGCAGGCCTGGGACCTGCTCCTCCTCGCTCCTGTCTGAGCTCGGAGCAGCAGCTGGAGGCTTTGTTGGAGGGCACATTGGTGGACAGCTCTCCAGCAGACGTGCGAACACGGGGGCTGATTGAGGAGCTGCAGGCTCAGCTCATGGAGCAGCAATCCTACTCTCCAATGGACACATCTGAGCTGTCTTTCTCCTCCTCGCCACCCTCCTCCTTAGACATGGGTCTGTCTGACCCGACCCTTGACAACATGGAGTGGCTGGACCTCACTATGCCCCCTGGCCCAGGGCCTCTCACTCCCCTCAGTATCCCATCAGACTTCCTGGATTCTCACGATCTGCAGCTACACTGGGACTGAGCCTTGAGAGTGACACAGCCACAGCCAGAGCGGCACTTTTTACAGCTTTAAAGGTGATTATCTACAGTGAATTAGCCAAACAGACACTACAAGACTCCTAGTGCACAGAGACCACAACCTCTAATAAATCAGTCTGAGTGAGGCTGAGTGCCCTAGCACATGTGTGCAGTCCACACATGTCATTCACTTGGAGTCCACCTAACTCAAACCGGTATATTACTGTAACGTGTGGTAATCAGACTCTGACTTTAAATGAAAGCACATGACTGCTGCTGGGACCGACACACTTGTGTGTCCAATAATGAGTCACTGTTTTATTATAATAATAATAATAATGCATTGGTTTTAGTGACCTGGCTTGACCCCAGGGTTGAGCTGATCAACCAATCACTAGACTTTAAGCAGACGACAAAAAGAGGATCTCCTTGTCTTGTGAGCTATGCACTAAAGCAACTCACACTCAAATATGAGGCATACCCAACAGCGCCTGATCACATAAAGCTGACCACAGCTTTACGTGATCAGTAGTCCAGTCCATCTGAATCTGAATGTATTAAAGAACTGTGGACCCGTCTACTGCCAGCTTTTATGAGGAAAGGGAACAACAGAAGGACTGTGTGCTAAAAGCACATTTGCCATCAGCATCTGAGGCACTGTCTTTGTCCTGTCTGCTTTTACGCATTGGGGCAGCATGATGTTGTTTAGGGCTAAAGCCATTAGTGATAATATACAGTCCAAATGTGTAGATTTTATCTTCTGTCGTCTGCATGTCCACTCTGTGTGCATGACTGTTCAGTAACCGCTACAGTCATGGCTTGTGACGACTGTTCCTCTGCCCACTGTCCAGTGCACCATTAAATATAAGGGCTACGCTCCTTTGAAACGTATGTTTCATATTTGACATCAAATATATGATGTCCCAACCACATCATCATATATACTGTACGTAGGCAAATGTGAATTATCCACTCTTTTATTTTAAAAAGCCAGTACAAAAGCCTGTCTGAAGGTGGAATGTCCAATACAATTTTTTTACTTTGTGAAAATAAACATCACATTATTCACACTTGAAGACTATGACCAAAAAAACCTGCAATCATTCATTTCCATAGTAATTACATTTGTATCACAAAATCTTTTGAATAAAGTGATATTGAAATGATAGAGCACTTTACTGTGGAGTCATGTGTATGTTCAATGTTCAAGTCTAGAGTATGTAATAGTTCAAATGGTCTTTCTCAACGCTAACTACTGTAAACCACTACTTCTGTTTGCAGACACTAGGGGGCATCATTAACTTGGTATTTTCAGCTTATAGAAAATACAGAACCTCATTTTAAATCAGCTAGTGATTTATCTATCCATCCATCCATTTTCTTCCCCTTAATCCATTTCTGGGTAAAGGGGGTGGCAATGAGCTGCCACCCAATTCAGAGCACTAGCCCCTCACTGATCCTTCTGCAGGTGGTGAGTCCTCAGGACGATTGCTGTTCTGTCTGTGACAGTACAGCCTTGATCTTTCAGTGGGGGCTTCAGGCATAGGCAAGGACACAACAACAGCAGACATCGGTGTGAGACGGTTGAGTCGACAGTGGAGCCACTGTCGCCCACTGTCTATTCCATTACCAAGACCAGGCTTTAAAATATAAACCCAAACGTGTATACATTTAGCTTGGTTTAAAGTTGTTTAAGAGGGCAGCTTGGAAACGACTGAACACTGCAATTACCAAGCTGTCAGCTAATGCCCTTTGTTATGTCTTGAATTGCTGTATTCATATCCAGTGACTGCCCACCCCACTATAGTCACAGGTTTATAGTGGACCACAGTTAGTTAAAACCTTATCAAAGCTTGTTTTTGCCATGTCGGAGTTTTTGTTATGTTTTTTTTGTCATCCCTCATGCCATGCCTTTTGTTCGTTGCCCATGTTTTGCACATTGTGTACATATTTCTATAGATGTTTTGCATATTTTTATACACATGAAACATCCATGGCTCTGTATCTTGTAGATAATCTAAACGGATGTATATAAAAAGTACTGTAAGCCATTATGTAAAAATAAATAATTTTGTGTAATGTGAGCATGGGACTGTTGTCAAGGAATTCATTCATGGTAAAGGTACCAAATTTGTCTTGAATGCATCGTTGTGGTCTGATTAGTTTATTTTACGTTTCACTTCAATATGTGGTTAGACAGGGGTATGCTAAAATAAAAACTTTTTTTTTTTAAAATTACTAGATTATTTGGATATTTTTCCTATAAATGCATTTAATTTTCAACCAAATAAATATGCATGCATCAACTGAGTTGTATTTTTATATAAGCATAAGGGTCACCCTATTTTTATTTTTTTCCAGACAATTTGAAATTAAAGTCAATGGGTTTTTTTTTTAGGTCGAAATATGAAAATAAAGTCGAGGTACCAAAATTAGATTAATCTTGAAATATGTTGAGAATTCTCTAAATATTTGAGAAGAGTCTCTAAATGTTTTTAGAATCTCAAAATTGTATGATATAAGCGCAGCAAAGGATACAACTGAGCCCCATCGCTCAAAGCGGATAAACAAGACACCTCATGCAGAGTTCACTGAAAAGATGGTTTTATGATTTTGTGTCCTCTTGACCCAATGTAACAGTGGTGTTACAGTGTCTTGCGAAAGTATTCGGCCCCCTTGAAACTTTCAACATTTCGCCACATTTCAGGCTTCAAACAAAGATATAAAAAATAATGTTTTTGTCAAGAATCAACAAGTGGGACACAATCGTGAAGTGGAAAAAAAATTATTGGATAATTTAAACTTTTTTACAAATAAAAAACTGAAAAGGGGGGCGTGCAATATTATTCGGCTCCCTTGCGCTAATACTTTGTAGCGCCACCTTTTGCTGCAATTACAGCTGCAAGTCGCTTGGGGTATGTCTCTCAGTTTTGCACATCGAGAGACTGGATTTCTTGCCCATTCTTCCTTGCAAAACAGCTCGAGCTCAGTGAGGTTGGATGGAGAGCGTTTGTGAACAGCAGTCTTCAGCTCTTTCCACAGATTCTCGATTGGATTCAGGTCTGGACTTTGACTTGGCCATTCTAACACCTGTATACGTCTATTTGTGAACCATTCCATTGTAGATTAGGCTTTATGTTTTGGATCATTGTCCTGTTGGAAGATAAATCTCCGTTCCAGTCTCAGGTCTTTTGCAGACTCCAACAGGTTTTCTTCCAGAATGGTCCTGTATTTGGCTCCATCCATCTTCCCATCAATTTTAGCCATCTGCCCTGTCCCTGCTGAAGAAAAGCAGGCCCAAACCATGATGATGCTGCCACCACCATGTTTGACAGTGGGGATGGTGTGTTCAGGGTGATGAGATGTGTTGCTTTTACGCCAAACATATCGTTTTGCATTGTGGCCAAAAAATTCGATTTTGGTTTCATCTGACCAGAGCACCTTCTTCCACATGTTTGGTGTGTCTCCCAGGTGGCTTGTGGCAAACTTTAAACAAGACCTTTTATGGATATTTTTGAGAAATGGCTTTCTTCTTGCCACTCTTCCATAAAGGCCAGATTTGTGCAGTGCACGACTGATTGTTGTCCTATGGACAGATTCTCCCACCTCAGCTGTAGTTATCTGCAGTTCATCCAGAGTGATCATGGGCCTCTTGGCTGCATCTCTGATCAGTCTTCTCTTTGAGATGAAAGTTTGGAGGGACAGCCGGGTCTTGGTAGATTTGCAGTGGTCTGATACTCCTTCCATTTCAATATAATTGCTTGCACAGTGCTCCTTGAGATGTTCAAAGCTTGGGAAATCTTTTTGTATCCAAATCCGGCTTTAAACTTCTCCACAACAGTATCTCGGACCTGCCTGGTGTGTTCCTTTGTCTTCATGGTTCTCTCTGCGCTTTAAACAGAACCCTGAGACTATCAAAGAGCAGGTGCATTTATACGGAGACTTGATTACACACAGGTGCATTCTATTTATCATCATCAGTCATTTAGGACAACATTGGATCATTCAAAGATCCTCACTGAACTTCTGGAGTGAGTTTGCTGCACTGAAAGTAAAGGGGCTAAATAATTTTGCACACCCCACTTTTCAGTTTTTTATTTGTTAAAAAAGTTTAAATTATCCAATACATTTTGTTCCACTTCACGATTGTGTCCCACTTGTTGTTGATTCATGACAAAAAATTTGAATTTTATATCTTTATGTTTGAAGCCTGAAATGTGGCGAAATGTTGAAAGGTTCAAGGGGGCCGAATACTTTCGCAAGGCACTGTATTTCCCTACTAGCAAAAAGTATCCGTGGCGGACCCGCGGCGAATCTCGGCATACCTTTGCAGCAGGTCCGCATTGGAGTTCACTTGCACACCGTGGCGGATGCAGCGGTCTTGACGCGGATAACAGCCTTTTCACCGTGGATCCGCCGTGGTGGCTGTGGTGTAATCGTGTTGTTATGCTGTTATACTGTTATAAAGAGTAGCCACCAGGGGGAGACCTGGAGTTGCAATTGGCTAGCGACGATGGATGGGCAAGCACAAGCAGCCGCTCCAGCAGCAGCGGCACCTGCTCCAGCAGCAGCGGCAGCCACCCGCGACAACTTTTACAATCAAGCCACCTGAACCTTTCGACTTCGCAAAACCCCAGGAGTGGGAGAAGTGGATAAGACGTTTTGAACGTTTCAGAGTGGCAAGTAATCTGAACGGTTCCACTGATGCCAATCAAGTGAACACTTTAGTTTACTGTATGGGAGATGAGACTGACGACGTCCTAAGAGGGCTCGAGCTAACAAATGACGAGCGCCAGCAATATGATGCTGCATTCGATAAGCACTTCGTTCCCAGGAAGAATGTGATTTATGAACGGGCAAAGTTTGAGAAGAGAGTACAACAGCATGCTGAACCAGTTGACTTGTTTATAACTGCCCTATATGCACTGGCGGAAAACTGCGGATATGGGAAACTTCAAAATGAACTTTTGAGGGACAGGCTCGTAGTGCCATCCATCCATCCAT